CTTTGAAACCTCGGACTGTGCCATGGTGCTCCCTCTCTCTACCACCATTGAAGGGTGGTATTCAGTGGTCCTGCCTCCTCCCTCTGAGCCAAGGTGGAGGGAGCCTGCAAAACTTTGAGGAAGATTTTCATCAGAAGGGCCCAGCTCCAAGTTGGGGCCTTGAGTGGGAGAGCTCTGATTCATGGCCTCTTCCTTGCACTCATGGTCCTCACCATGGTCCTCAGAGTGGGCCATGACAATTAGCTTCATGGCTTAACAGGAATTTTAACCTCTGACTCTCCTGCCCTGCACCATCCTGACTCTCGGTAGCAATATAATACTTGGAAAAAAGATTATTTTATTTTATTTTTTATCATTAGACCATTGAAATGTTTTTTATGGTTCAGTTTTCAGTTAGTTCCCCATATTACTTTTCTTTGCAAAGAATTGCTGCCTTGTCTTCCATAGGTGAGGAGCATCACCTGAGGAACGCAGAGCTGTTTCCCAGTAATTGCATACATCCTTGTGTATCCATCTTTCCTTCTTGATCAAGTTAAAATGAAAGCTTAGCAAAGAAGTTGGAAGGAACTGAAGTATTACCAGAGCCTTCTTTCCTTCCTTATGGCACATTTGGGGGGGGGGGAGAGAAGGGGCAGAGTAGTTTGTATGCTGGCAGCCTTATCATTTACACACTTGGCTTAGGGGACCCCTAAATGTAAATATACAGTCATGTGTCGAAACACTTTCATTACTGGTAAGTAACAGTATTCCTGGTGTTCCTGAAATGATTTCTTCTCACGTGGAGTCAGATCATGCTCAGTCATTTCTATAGCCTTGCGGATGTAGTCTTGCCACAATGAACTTTCTATATAGCATCTAGGTCAAGCCTACACAGCTGCCAAATGTAACCTATTCAGCTATACATCGCTGGCCACTGAGTAAACCTGGAAGGCCTTAAATTGCAAAACTGTGGGATTGCCAAGACATAGCAAGCCATAATGTATAGTTAATTTAGCAGGTCACAAATTATTCAAGCCTATGCTGAATGACCTTTTTGTCAGTCTGAGTTGAAAGACTTTGAGCATTTCTAAGGATTTGAGCACTTATTAGGAAAGGTTCGTATCTGCATTGTAAGCAGAACTCTTTTGGCGCTCACATGAAAATCATGATTTGCTTTGGGGAGAAGTTCTCCCGATGACAGTAGTGGAGAGGAATTGCATCACAGAGGAAGGGGGTTAAATTGCCTCTCTCTGCCTGATAAAAACCTGATAATTATCACTCTTCCCCAGCTGATGTTATTCACCTTTTTTTAAAAAAACACCATGTTAAATAAAAAGATACATTTAACCAACTTTCTGTTTAGTTTGGCCCTTAAAATAGTTGTGAGAGAAGTGAGTGTTATGAACATACAAGTTTGAAAAATTGTTCTCCTGTATTTAGTTCTTTTGGTTTCCTTTTGAAAAAGAATTCCCTATTACATGTCTCTGTCCTCACAATTCAAAGTATTGTACATATTACTGTATGTGTCTTGTGATAGAAATTTGGATCTGGATTATGTGCCTTTCTGTTTCGTTCTGTTAACAGTCTCCTCCTTTCTCTGTTAAAGCGCTCTCCTTCCTGTATTCCAGCTCACAAAGGCAGACGTGTAAGAGGATGTCTTGCTGTGTGTGGCCTTTTAGTTTTGCCTATGATGCACATGCTTTTTCCGTTGTTTAATGTAGACCATTTTTGTTGATGCTGTTTATGCCTTGCATATTTATCCTGCTGCTTGTCTTGTGCTACTGCTGCTCCTATACTTTCATTGCATTCAATACCGTTTAAGTAAAAGTTCTGGAGAATGTGTGTGGCGTTTTCGTTTTTAATGTTGCACTCTTGGCACTCGAATGTCACAGAAACAAAAGATGACGGCGAACTGGAGTCGTTAAAACTAATTAGGTTGCAGTGCATGATTATAAACAGAATTAAAACCCACTTCTTCGTCTGCCCTGCTTCCTGTAGGAAACCGGTAGCAAGACAAGATAATGCGGAAGTTTTTGTCGTGGCAGATTAATTTGATTTATTTTTTTAATAAGGAGACGCTGAACTTAAAATCAGTAATCAGTTTCAGTTATCCTTACGATTGCTGTGATTCTGTCCTAAACACAATGGGCACTACCTGAGAGCAAGCAGAATGGTGCCTTGCCCAGCTTATTGTCAAGGATACTAATGGTGTTTTCAGTTCTAGTTGTCTGTTTATTGGGCAGAAAAAAACACAACCGTGACCTAGTCTAGAAGCCAATTCACACAACCTAACATTCCTGCATTGCGCAGTGTGTGCGTGCGTGCTAGAGGGCCCTTTGGATCCCTTCCCACTCTGCAATTCTATTATTCAAACAAGTGACGAGCACTATGCAACTTGAGAAAACTGATAATTGGATAGTACAGGACACTGCACACACCTACATTAGGTCCCTCTTTGATGAGGGACTTCTTCACCCAGTAGCCTTTTGCTCTTGGATTAGGGTATATCAGTGCATGAATAGCTGACAGCTAATTACTAGATCTATGGGTGTAGTGGTACTTTCTGGACTGTGTTGAAAGCTCTGGTTATTTAAACAAGGTACATAGAAGGTGCAAGCAGCATGTGCAAACCAGTCTTTTGCATTTCCCTTGTCCCTTATTTGGGAGGAGTATTGAAGGAAAGCACCAATTTTGGAGCGGGGGGCTTAGATATGTGCAAATCCTCTGATTATATTTCCTCCATGCTGACACATAGATAAGGCATGTGGTATTGTGAGGCTTTGCCAAAGTATGTATGCAACAAGCTTCCCTGGGAACAGTGTCAGGCACAGCCCTCAGAGGAGATGGGAAGAGCTTCAACAATTCCTTCAATAGATGTCCAGTATTTACAAGCAATATTTTCAAAAAATGTAGAAATAAAGCCTTCTTTAGTACAGTAATCTATATATATCAACTAAAGAAAATAGAATTCCTGATATTCAGAGAGGAGTGCATTTTTTTTTAAAATGCTGAGCATAGAAAAGAATTTCTGCCGCTGATTGCTGCACTGCTTGAAACAGTTTATATGTAGCAAGCTGGCGTATTGTTTAGCATTTGGGTGCTTATAGTATTCTCAACTTGTAGTTCCCATCTTTCTTAAAAGCGGTTTTTGTCACAGTTTCTGCTTTGCCCAGTGTAAACACATGTAAAAAAAGAAAAGAAAAGGCAAACCAGACATTAAGATTGCCCATGCAGCTGTTATCTACTAATACCTTTTAAGGGGCAAATGTGTAGGGAAGCTTTTAACGTTTGACACACTATTGTTTTTTAATATTTTGTTGGAAGCTACGCAGAGTGGCTGGGGAGGGTATAAATAATAATAATAATAATAATAATAATAATAATAATAATAATAATAATAATAATAATAATAATAATATACAGCCCAGATGTGTCCTCTGTAGTAATTAAAATAGTTTAATTTTTGTGCTCTCTGGGACAACACAATCTCCCAACAGTTTTGTAAAACACAATAGTGAATTGCATTACAAATAAAAATATTCTAAGATGTTGGGTTTTCCAAAATGGCAATTGATGGTTTATTTGAAGCAACTAGATTATTTTTGCAGAAAAATGTAATATTTGGACTGACCTCTATGCTATGGGGAGAGGGGTGGCAGGGCAGGTTGGGGGAGCTGGTAACTAATGAGAAAGTTGTAAAGGTAAAGGTACCCCTGACCATTAGGCCGAGTCACGGACAACTCTGGGGTTGCGTGCTCATCTTGCTCCATAGGCTGAGGGAGCCGGCGTTTGTCTGCAGACAGTTTTTCTGGGTCATGTGGCCAGCATGACTAAGCCGCTTCTGGCGAACCAGAGCAAGGCACAGAAACGCCATTTACCTTCCCGCCTCAGCGTTACCTATTTATCTACTTGTACTTTACGTGCTTTCGAACTGCTAGGTTGGCAGGAGCAGGGACCGAGCAACGGAAGCTCACCCCCTCACAAGGAGTTGAACCACCGACCTTCTGATCGGGAAGCCCTAGGTTCTGTTGGTTAAGACCACAGCGCCACCCGCGTCCCATATGAGAACTAAATAAAGGAATTAGATTTTTAATTAAAACTGTCTTCCCTCAAATATATTTTCAAGGAAGCAAACCCATGTCTAGTATGGCAGTGTAAGAAAATATGTAGACTTAGCCCATTGTGTTTAATATAATCTTTAACATGAATATGGACAGAACAAGATGAAATCAAATATTGCATAACACCTAAACCATCAAACAATTTCTAATTACAGTAACCAAAAAAATTGAAATTAGAAAATGTAGATCAAGGCATCACTGCAGAACAGAATCTTTTTCTATTATTTTGCTTCTGATATTCACCCTTTATGAGATTCTTTTATTAGGCAAAATATATTCTAGCCTCTTTTGCTTAGCATTCAAAACTTCAGACTACTACAAATCAAACAAAAACGTATAACTCAGCGGTTATAGTATGCTTGTACAAAATACTTTCATATGTCATGATGGGCAATTTCTTGTTGATAATCATCACAATGTATTGTTATGCTTAATTCATTGGTATGGTTCCTTAATGATCAAGATTTAAATTAACAGTGGGCAAGCACCTTAATATATTTTTTTTGCTATCCATTGCAATTCATAAAAGAACCCAAAGTTCAGGGGTTTTAAATTAAAGAATAAGGCAGTCTCAGTTACTCACAAGCATTATTATAGGCTTTATGTAAATTGATTATCCTATCCAACTGCCAACAAATAAATTCTTAGAGTGGACTTTACTGATCCCTGCACAAGCCAGATAAACTGATGTTATGCTGCCATTGCAGGCAGGTAACCTAGCGCAAACATTTACAAATTGAGTGGCAAATTATTATTTATTTCTTTTAAAATTTTTGCTCCCCAATTTGCATTTCTATGTTTTTGAGAAAATTAGTGCATAATAAAAAAGTGGCTTTTAATTTTCTTCCCCTCCCTCTTCCCTTCCTTTTGCTTGTTTCTTTTCCTTGGTTGTTTCTCTAGATTGATTCTGTTGAAAATTTTACCTTATCTAATACGCCTTCGCGGGATGAAGATATCAAGTGTCACCTTCATTCAAGATCTAGGTCCCCTTCCACAGCTAGTGACATTGAACCAATTGAGGTACTCTCTCATTTGCTTAAGATTCGTCTGTCCCACACCACAGTGTTAGATAGGTTCGGAATGAATTAGGAGGCAAAATAGCCCTGAATAGTGTTTGATTTAAATTAGACTTAAAAACTACATCCAAGGACCAGTTGACATGCAGTTGTTTAGATGTGGGATGCTGTACCTGTAAAGGTAAAAAGAATGCAGCACACACTTCTACAGTGGTACCTCGGTTTAAGAACAGCCCTGTTTATGAACTATTCGGTTTACGAACTCTGCAAAACCGGAAGTAGTGTCCCGGTTTGCAAACTCTACCTTGGTCTAAGAATGGAAGCCGAATGGTGGAAGGGCACCGGTGGCGGGAGGCCTCATTAGGGAAAGCACGCCTCAGTTTAAGAACGGTTTCAGTTTAAGAACAGACTTCCGGAACAGATTAAGTTTGTAAGCCAAGGTACCACTGTACATTGTACAAAACACAATAATTAGGCTGTGATCTGGATCCCTGTTGAATATACACTTCCTGGCAAACTTGGGTTTGTAGCCATCTTAATCATGTGTGAAATTGCCCTAAGAAAGCAAGTAGCAAGTGGGAAATGGTACCAGCAAGGTTTGGTAAGGTGAGTGCTCTTGCTGCTTCCTTTCAGATATTCAACTGCACCTAGGATTGAGTGCTGCTTTGTTCATTTTGCATCTATTTGCTGCTGCTTCCTTTTTTTCTGGGCTGCTGAACCTTGCCAAATAATCTTTGCAATATTTTCTTGGGATGTTCCTTTTGGGTCCCATCTGAAACCCATTATATTACATTGTTCCTCTGGAAACCTACAACCATGTTCTACACTTAGGCCAGGATCCAAAGGCCTGTGGGGGTTTTATAACCATAAGCAGACTCCTATGCTGGGTGGCAAAAGTGTTTTTGAAACTTATAGACGTTTTGGAAAGAATTCATGATACAGCATAGTTGCATGGAGATGGCGTCAGGTTTAAAAGGAAAGGGGAAAAATTGTGGGTTGCTCAAACCCCTTCCATGAGCCAAAGTGGCTGTTTATTAGCCTTATATTCCAGGACTAAGTTTCTATTTTGGTTGAAATTACTTGGGCTTTTAATGTTCATACAACATCTCTGCAACTGACAGATACTCTTGCTATTCCAAAAAATAAAAAATCATTCTTCCTTGCATTTTTTGACTTTCAAATGCCACTAAGCCTTTCAAATAAGGGAGGGACTGCTAAGGCGTGTCCTTCCAAATGTTGTTGAACTTCAGCTCCTATCATCCCTGAACATTGGCTATGCTGGCTGGAGCAGATGGGAGTTGGGAGTCCAACAACATGGCCATACCAACACAGCCCCTGAAATTAGGGGTGCAGGTTTTTTCCCCTATTCTTAACTGCAAACTTAAGCATGGTTATAGAGAAGTTCAGTGGAACTTACTCCCAGGTAAGTGTCCATACCAATGCAGCCATAATCCCCCTTTTGTTACAAACTGATCGGATGCTGTCAAACTACCATTAAGATTGCTTAACCAGTTTATAAAAAGCATTAGTGCCTCAGCTATCCCACTCATTAGCTGAAATATGCTGCAAAAAACTTCATCTTCCCCACACATAATCTTTTTCTTTTCAAAAGCCATTATCATTAGTCACACTTTGCTAAACTCTTCTGCCACTCCTACAAGGGCATTTGCGTCAAGATGCTTTAGGTAGATTTTTTGCAATGCAACTGGCCTTCATTTTTTGGTAGTTAGCAGTTACATTTCTGGTACAACTATGAATTCACTATTGATGCAGAGGTGTTCTACGTCATTTAATCAGTAGCATGTTAGCTTAGGGGGGGGCATTTCCTTAGAATATCCATCTCCCTGCATTGACCTCTAACAAACCACATGCTTCACAGATGTCATATTCTGATAAAATGAGACACTTTTTACTGGTGTGTATCCAAAAGAATAATTCCCAAAATTGCTTTATGGATGCAAAATAACACAGCTGTCCCAAATCATAGGAAGCTAGCATACTGGAATTCATGTTATTGATTTACAAAACCAAAGGAAAGAAAGATTATACATTTTTGTTGTTGCTGTAAGGTGAAAGTTTTACATTTGTGAATTATCTTTGCTAAATCACTGAGCATTGGGAGTTTATCCATTGAAACACATCATTAAGTAAAATGCATTTGTCACTTGTCAGCATAGCTATCCTCAAGGTTGTAAAGGAGAACTTAAAAGATGTTTAAATATTTTGCTAGGTAGCAAGGTGATGAGCATGTTACTTGTACAATCATTCATTTATTTGCCTCCTTTAGTTCTTGTGCTCTTTTTGCTGAAGTTTATGTTTGTGAAAGGCCTTTTAATGGTGTGCTTTTTTCACCTTAAGTAATCCTCAACATATATGTTCAGGTTTCAGATCATCCTCTGCGTCCGGTTCACACACCAACCATGAGGTCACCATATATTGGTTCAGGACTCTCTGTGCCAAAGGTACCATAAGAAATTCTTGCAACAGTTAACAGCAGTATTATTGTTATTAATCATAATCATTGTAACAATCATTCAGAAGTGCAACATTGAAGCCCTTCCCATGTAGTTTCCTGGGGATGTTTATGAATCATCTGGTTCACAACACAGATATCATCACTTTAATGTGATGAGAAAAGTGTGTTTATTTATCACCAAATGGTCTTCATAGCTAAGGGAAGCAAAATTTCACAATTTTGGTTCTGTGCAGTCTTACCTTAGATATTTGACCATTGAGATTGCACAGCTGTCTGTCTCTTAACAGAAAATAAATAAACATCAGTACCTTTAAACAAAGGATGACTCTTTCACCTGTTTCATTTCTGTATATTCATCTGCTTATACAAAAGAGGGTTTTCTTTAATATTTATTTTTTTCTTTTTGCTAATGCACAGATGTTTAATAGTACTTTACATTTATGATTTTAACTTTGATAGTGTCCCTTTCAAAGAGACAGCTGACATGACTGCTGAGACATGGGTCAGCTTTCTTTAGACTGCCAATTTTATTCTCTGAACAGTAATCAATAATGCTTTGGCTAGTTTTAGACATGGGAACAGTCTGGAATTTGTATTACTAAACAAAAAACAAAAACAAAAAACCTCTTGGTTTTTATCAGCACAGCAAACCAGACCATTAATTTAACACACAGCATTTGTATTTAAGAGTAATTTTTGGAGAGCAAAGTACCTGTCATCTAAGCTTTTTCTGTTTTCATTATTCCACAGCCAAAGGCCCATCAGTTTGTAGTGAAATCCTTTAATACCCCTACCAAATGCAATCAGTGCACATCTTTGATGGTTGGCTTAATAAGGCAGGGCTGTACCTGTGAAGGTAAGATTGACTTACCATCTTATCTAGCAAATTATCACTTCATTGTATTATTCTGTTGATTATTAAATTTTTGGATGCAAGAACAGTCCAGACCAGTTTGAAAAAGAATATTTACTTGTTTTTGTTTAATTCTGGAACTGATCCAAACTCAGATATTGCAAAAGTAACTAGCAACATTGACATGAGAAATGTTAATAACTTTCATACGTTACTAGATTAATCTGTTACATATTCAATAATGAGAAATGCATATTTTGATTGAATTCTATATTTCCCCCAGTGTGTGGATTTTCTTGCCATGTGACCTGTGCAGACAAGGCACCAGCGGTGTGTCCAATTCCACCTGAACAGACAAAGGGTCCTTTGGGTATTGACCCACAGAAAGGCATAGGAACGGCTTATGAAGGCCATGTCCGAGTAAGTATAGGAACACTGAATGCCATGGTCTGATTGTAGTTTTCTTACAATAATTTATAATGCAGTATCAAACAATTTGGTTTATATTAGAATGACGATCATCTTGGCTTTTCATTTTCTATATAATATTTTTTTCTGAGTGTGTGAATAAGAAAAGAACTACTCTGTTCTAAACTTTACCATCCCCACATTTTTATTGCATATTATTACTTCAAGCTAAGTATAATGCGCACTAAACATTTCCGCAGCTATCCAAATTATAGGAGGCCATATACACAAGAGTGGATTATGCTGGTGTAATTTACCCTATTCCAGACTGCTTTCAGGAGCGGGGCCTGACAGAGAGAAAACAAACCTTTATAAAATAGAGTTTGGCACATGACCAGCAAAAAGCGTGGTGTAACTTTCCCTGGGTTTCTAGGTGATGTGACTGAGCTGAAATAAGCTTGCAGTAAGGGCATGTTTTCAAAGAGGCCTGCCCTTCTGAATGAAAGCGTGGAGGTTTCCTCAGACTTTTGACTCATGTAAAAAGATGCACGCTACAAACCTATTCCGATTTGACTGCCGTGGTATTTCCCAAAGGAACTGCAGAAGCTGCAGTTCTGAGAAAGGGCAAAGGATCTCTAACAAAGAATTCTCAGCAACCTCATATAATTTCTTGTGGAAAGCCACAGTAATTAAACCCGTTTGGTTTTGCAATGCAGGCATGCTCTTGAATGACCTGCTGGTTATACATTGAGAATATACAGGGCATTTCTAATAACTAATTAATGGAATGATTTATTTATTTTCACATTTCTTTCTTTACATTTGAATATCAGTACCATTAATTTTGTTACAGGTCCCAAAACCAGCTGGAGTGAAGAAAGGCTGGCAAAGAGCACTGTCTGTTGTCTGTGACTTCAAGCTCTTCCTTTATGATATTGCAGAAGGAAAAGCATCCCAGCCCAGTGTGGTAGTGAGTCAGGTTCTTGATATGAGGTAGGAAGTGTCTTTTTTTTTTTTAATGTAAGAGACTGCAAGTGCTACCAATTATAATTCACACTGTAGAGAATTCAATCTATGGAAGCTTCCATGTCTAAGAAATAACTCTTCTTCTTCACCAATCCTTTATTAGGCATTACGAATATAGGCCATCATAAAACATCCACATGTAAAATTTAAAAAAATATATACAAAAATATGCAAGAACGAGGATTTTCATTGGAGTTTCTTCCCACTAAATAGTGCCCTTCGCTACTCTAAGAGACACTATTGACAAAACCTCAGCCACCCTTGCAGTTACTTCCGGGTTAATGTCAGACAGATAGAATCTGATATTTTCATTGTGCCATGATGTTAGACTACCCAAAAAAAAAAAAAGCAGATAGCACATGTTTGCTTAGAAAAGAATATAGTCTACAGAAATAACATAAAAATAAAAGAAATGAAATTGGTGGTCATTCTCTTCCTAAATGACTTGAGGCTACCTTTTTAAGATAAAAAGCACTTTGTGTTGATATGCACTTCCACTATAATTTGAATAGATACTGTTCAAAAGTTAATTATAAAAGAAGTGCACTTCAGTTTGCTGATAAACATTTTTTTTGCATTGTTGTTTTTCAAAAAGGGATGAAGAATTCTCAGTGAGTTCTGTCTTGGCTTCTGATGTCATCCATGCAAATAGAAAAGATATTCCCTGTATCTTTAGAGTAAGTAATACATGTTAAAGTTGAAATCTGTTGCTTATAAGTACAGTGGAGCCAATACTGTTGTTTAATTTTTGTTTCCATTTCATTTATTATCAAAAGTACCTTCATCGTTCTTTGTGGTTTCAAGTGCTCCTTGAAATTTCATGTCTTTTTCATCCAAACCCTGGACACTAGGAGGAAGTATGAAAATATCACAACATACTAATTTGTAATGGTCTGTGAAATGGTACTGTCCCTGAGCTAGTCTGAAGGGAACAAACATTTAACTTAGCATAAATAGAAAGCTTTGCTTGATAGTTATTGATTGATTTTTTTTCAATTAGATTTTTATCCCAGTAAATTTTGCCACTAGAAGCTCAGTACGTTCTCACGGATAGAAGAGAATGAGGGAGGTAATTTTGCTTACCTTTACCTTCCCTCTACTGCCCCAGGCACCACCTTCCACACTATTCCAAAGGATATTCAGACCACACGAAGCAGATTTTTGGGTGCATAGGGGTCTGCTGGGGGGGGGAGAGAGAGAGAAACAAAAATTGCCTGTCTCATCAGCAAGATGCCTCCACTGTAACAGAAGACTTTCTTAGAAAACAGGACCACTTCCATTCATGGGAGGCAAAATCTGGATCCAATCCATGGTTGTGCCCTTCCCATTTTTGTCTTGCAACAACCCTGTGAGATAAGCCAAGTTGAGAGAGGCTGGCTGAGCCAAGATCAGCCAGTGAGCTTCAACACTACTTAAGCAGAGATTTGAACTTCCCAAACCACTCTATATGCAATGCCACACTAACTCTCGCTAGTTCACCTTGAAATGTGTCTATAATGCTGAGTTCCTCAACTGATTGACTACAAGCAAGGCACAGATTATATTCAACAGATCATAAATGTCAAGGCGTCTGTTTTTCTTTGCATTGGTTTATTTTGAATATTTATCTCCTTCCTCCCTACCTCATGTGTGCCGTCTTCTACATTGCACAAAAACACACACGTCTTTACCTTTTCCAGGTTACAGCTTCCCAGCTGTCAGCATGCAGTAACAAGTGTTCAATCCTGATCCTAGCTGACAGCGAGAATGAAAAGAGCAAGTGGGTAGGAGTCCTAAATGAACTGCACAGGATTTTAAAGAAGAACAAGCTCAAAGATCGCTCAGTCTATGTTCCCAAAGAGGCCTATGACAGCACCTTGCCCCTCATTAAAACCACCCAGGCGGCAGCAATCATAGGTATGTGCTTGATAACCCCACAATAATACTTGACTCTACCTTAATGGAAGTTGGGTGGGTGCTTTCCCCCCACCCCTTTCTTTTTTGCTATGCCAGCTAGTACAGCAGAGTAGGCCAGATACCAGATCCCTCTCCAGCAAATGGTCTGGCTTAGGATCCAATGGATAAATCCCCACTCCCTCAGAAGAAATTGCCTGTTTCATGGCATGCCACCAGCAATAGTTTCTCACCTGCCTGTTCTTTCAGTGGGCCCAGCGGGAACCTCAACAGCCACAGATCCCACCCTATATAGAGGGACACCTGCACTTAATCCTAACCCTCTATAGCAGCACTGCTGTGGGTTCTAAGTGTGCTTACAGTGTTTTTATTACACTAGGAAATTGGGGGAAAATTTGTTTTTAATTCTTAAAAGTGATATATGGAAGTGAATGGTAAGTATTCTTTTCTAATCATTAGCCTGTTGATCTGCTATCCGATTAGCATTTGTCTTCCTTATTAGCCATGTGCCTCCAATTGGACTTCCTCCCCCACCCTCTTCTTTTCTTTTAACTGCTGCAGATCACGAAAGAATAGCTCTGGGCAATGAAGAAGGGTTATTTGTGGTTCATGTCACCAAGGATGGTAAGGGAACATGGCTTATGTTTGAAATGTCGGGGGTTGAAATAATAAACTGCACATTTTGTTCTGTCAGCTCCTTCTAGTGCCGTCTTTTATTAGTTCATGATTATGAAGTTGACAAGTCAAACTGTTCTCAGTTCTTTCCGCCTACCAAGAAAGCCTTTCAATCTGTGCTGTGTTGGCGGACTAGAACCCAGACTAAATAACTACTTCCTGAATTGGGATAAATAAGATTAATGTTCTCCATGGCTACCTGAAAATGCCAGGGATGAAGCTTCACCCCATGGGTCCTCAGAACCCTAGCATCTCTCTGCATCATAGGTTCTGGCCCGTGACAAGATTACCCATGAGGGAAGGGAGGCTCTCACCTTTTTCTTTTTTTAAAATAGATTCCCTACGTCTTGATTATGGCAAGTGAGGCATAACATATCCCAGCAATAAGGATTGAAGCAGAAAATTATTGTTAAAGACATAAGAAATAAGTTGTAAGAAAAAGGTTGCTGAAAGATGAGACTATGGTTGCTTGAGAAAAACCACCATAGTCTGTCTTCATACAGTTCCAGCAAAATGAGAGGGAGAAATAAACAACACAAGCAATAGTTTGTATTGGGACTTTAGCACAAGATAAAATTTCAAAGGAAGAACTGCTTGTTTGCATGGGTACTAACTTAAGTGTTTAATTTTTGCAGAGATCATTCGTGTCGGTGACAATAAGAAAGTGCATCAGATTGAGCTCATCCCAAATGAGCAGCTAATTGCAGTGATCTCAGGACGAAACCGTCATGTACGGCTATTCCCTATGACAGCCCTGGATGGACGAGAGACTGATTTTTATAAACTGGCAGAGACTAAAGGTTGCCAGACGATAGTTTCTGGGCAAGTGCGCCATGGAGCCCTTACCTGCCTGTGTGTGGCAATGAAAAGACAGGTCCTCTGCTATGAACTAAATCACAGCAAGACACGTCACAAAAAGATTAAAGAGATCCAAGTGGCTGGGAATGTCCAGTGGATGGCAATCTTTAGTGAGCGGCTCTGTGTGGGCTACCAGTCAGGATTCTTAAAATACCCTTTGCATGGAGAAGGAAACCCACATAGTTTGCTTCACCCAGATGATCACACACTGTCGTTCATTGCACAGCAACCAACTGATGCCATCTGTGCAGTTGAGATCTCGAATAAGGAATACCTGCTGTGTTTTAGCAGCGTGGGGGTTTATGTGGACTGCCAAGGTCGAAGATCAAGGCAACAGGAACTGATGTGGCCTGCAACTCCTTCCTCTTCCTGTAAGTTCCTGTCATTATCTTAGTTCACAGTAGCCTCATTTCTCCTCCTGGTTTGAGAGAACACATGCAACATTGGGATAATATTCAGGTAGTTACTCCCTTCTTTTTCTGTCAGGCGGCATCATCAACAGGCTACATGGGGACGTGATGCACAAAAGACATTTGTAAGAAAGAGCTTTTTAAAATAATGCCATGTTGTCATAAACAAGACACAGATGTACACATTATTCCTTAGCATTCTCTCCCTCCCACTATGAATTCTCTCTCCATTTTCTGTTCATTGTTAGTTGTAGTTTAACTCTGGGTTGCATTCAATTTGGTTATACTTAGAGTAGATCCAGTAAAATTAATAAAATTTTATTTTTATTTTGTGGGTCCACTTTAAGTAGATTTAGTTGAACGCCACTCACAGTGTTTCATTTGGCAGGCCGTGGTTAGCAGTTGTCCTCCAAACTGGAGTCAGAAACCCACTTCAGATTATGTTTTTTGATTCTGCATTGGGAGGCAAGTGCCATACCTGGCCAGATCACTGAATCATAGAATCGTAGAGTTGGATGAGACCACAAGGGTCATCTAGTCCAACCCCCTGCGATGAAGGAATCTTTTGCCCAATGTGGGCTTCAAACCCATGACCCTGAGATTAAGAGTCTCATGGCAGAATACGGCTGTGTGTTGCTTCTAGAACTATGTATTTAGCATAAGTAGTCCTGTTCATAGCATTGGCTTGTAGCTGTCATGACTAAAGCTTATTAGTAATAAGCAAATGGCAACCTACACATAAAACAGTCCCCCCTGGTATTAGGTATACTTTACTGCTAGGCAAGAGCATCCACTACCAGCAGCACTCTTTCTCACCAGTGGTATACCAAGGTTAATGGGAACCTTAACAACTGTGGGTCCTACGAAATTACACTGTACAGTTCATTTTTTACACTGGGAAGGTATATTCACAGACCCAGATTTTAAAATACAGTGGTGCCTCGCAAGACGAAAAGAATCCGTTCCGCGATTCTCTTCGTCTAGCGGTTTTTTCGTCTTGCGAAGCAACCCCATTAGCGGCTTAGCGGATTAGCACTATTAGCGGTTTAGCGGCTTAGCGGCTATTAAAGGCTTAGCGGCTGAGCTGCTAAAAGGCTATTAGCGGCTTAGCGGCTTAGAAAAGGGGGGGGAGCAAGAAAAAAATGGCAAGACTCGCAAGACATTTTCGTCTTGCGAAGCAAGCCCATAGGGAAATTCGTCTTGCGAAGCAACTCAAAAACGGAAAACCCTTTCGTCTAGCGGGTTTTCCGTCTTGCGAGGCATTCGTCTTGCGAGGCACCACTGTACACTTGTAATATTTGTTGCAAGACCCTGCTTTCTAGAATTACCCACTCTTCAACCTCAGGTTCCAGGGTGAGTTACAACAATTAAAAAATAAAATAAAATAAAATTGAAACAACTTGCAGTCACAGAACTAAGGTGGGTCCTCCCCATCTGAGGCAAAGTGACCGGTTCAAAATGCTATCAATAGCTGGGAAATTGAGATTAATATTAAACCAGAAGGGATGTGATTAGGAAATATTGTCTTGCTTCCCAGTAATAATCAAAGAACCTTTTGTTCAGAATCAAAAATAAAATAAATCTTACCATTTTCTACACAGTCATTAGAAGGATAATAAAGAAATTATCAATGTTAAGCTGCCCACAGAGTCTGTATATTGAGAAGTGACTCTTTTCTAACCTTCAACACAATCTGTTACTCAGACTTGTATTTTACTTCTCCCCAGGTTACAATGCCCCATACCTCTCAGTATACAGTGAAAATGCCGTTGATATATTTGATGTGAACTCCATGGAGTGGATTCAGACTATCCCCCTCAAGAAGGTAAATAGCAAATGATACTGAAGAGCAAACCATTCCATAGGATAGATTCCAACGAGAGTAAAGAGTTTTTCAACCTGTTAGCATATTCATTCAAATGCAACTTATAAAAGAGTTCCCTATCTGCGTTTATCATTTGTTATGCAATACAATTCCTCCTCCCCCTGAAATTCTCATACACCAGTAATTTTTAAAATTATTATATTGAGAATTATTGTAGGCATCATTTCCTCTATTGAAAAACACCTTGTGAACTTCTGTTTAATATTATGAACAAATGAAAATTAAAAAATTATACACCATCTCAGATCTTAGGCAAAATGACTCCAGGTTTTTGGCAAAGGTTTCAACACCAATTCACTAATCAGTTTCAGGGTGTGTGTTTTTAAGACTGTTGTTAATTATTGTTCTGCATCATTAGCCTTTGAGTTTGAGAAATATTTTGCTAAAGCCAATCTTTACTAAGCTACTCATAACTCATGTGCTTTCAGGTACGTCCTTTGAACACAGAAGGATCGCTGAACGTCCTTGGACTAGAAACAGTGAGGTTAATATATTTCAAAAACAAGATGGCAGGTGAGTGAAAGAAGATTCCTCGCTAAAATTAACGTATTGATATAACCCTGGGATGTGGAACCTGTGGCTCCTTCAGACACTGCTGGTCTACTGTTTCTATCATCCCTGACCAATGGCTATGCTGATGGGAGTTAAAGCCCAACAACACCTGGAGGGTCACAGGATCCCCATCCACGATATAGCCCAATAAATATTGTGTATCATTGTTGATTCAGTCTTGTATAAGACATTTTTGGTTGGCCTCACAAACATATCAGCTGTAATCTGACAAAGACACTCATTCTCTCAGGGTTAAGAACAAAATTATGAAAGAGTTATTGTACCGTGTGCCCTAAATAGCTGGGAGACTATGGAGACTCTAGTACAGCAGCATAACTGACTTGGAAATCTATTGTTATTTTATTCTGGCCTACCACTTGTGATTCGTAGATGTTTTAGGTTCTGCTTATTTTTCCATAAATAAAATAGAAATTTTTATTGCTATTTTCTCAAACTTACAGAATAATTCTTTGCCAAAAAAAAGACTCCTGAAGCAGTTAACAATAACACCTGCATAAATACAATAAAATCACAAACACAACTACACTTTTTGTAAAACCCAGTCCTTGATCAGAACACTAGTTGTAATAATGTATATGTTTATTTGGGTTGGTAAAACTTAGTCCAATCGGTATAGTCACCATTGACATTTAAGACCTGCACTGTAAATAACAATGAGAAGAGGAAACAAAAGATTAGAAATTATGTTGGCATATATATTTACTACTCCCTGTCCTGAGTGAAGTGTGAAGATTACATTATCACAAGAAATGAGTATATTTCTCTTAATAAATGTTTTAGAGTATTGAGTGTTTATAGAATTATTGAGTGTATGTTCCTAGTATCAGAAAGTAGGTTGTTTATTTACAGAACCTAGGATCAGTTATTTAATCCTAGAGCAGGTTAGAAAAAACAATAAAGCTATATAAAAATAAAATGAAAACTATTTGAAAAGCAAGAAGGATATAATAGTACAACAGCTTCACAACAACCAGTTTGCAGTTCAGTATTAAATCAGTCCCCTGCAAAACTGGGTGAGCAGGTAAGTTTTTAATTGGTGCCAATTTTGATTTACCTGAAAATAATTTGGTTCTGTCAATCTTACAAAAAATGGATAAACAACAGCAGAATAATTAGGGTTAGATGAAGTGATCTTTTCGTTTTTCCTGCTTAGTGCTGGAATTCAGTTATCAATGTGAGTTTTCTCAATGTCTCTCCCTTCCCCCCATGAAGCACAGTCTCAAACACCTACACGGGTATAAGATTACCTACCCCAAATAAATGGAAATGGAAGCATTTACTTAAGCATCCTGCTTTCTTCCCCTTCTATCCTACCATAACTTCTTGGATCATTCTCTCTGTACAAGTACCCACTTTGTATCATGTACCAAACATCATTCATTATATATATATAATGAATAAGCTCAGAAATAAGCACTACGGATTCCACTGAGACTCGAGAGTTAACTCAGTAATGTGTTTAATTAAGCCCCAATACATTTGTTTCCTTTGAAAGGAGGTGACTTGGGAGCTGAGAAGTAGGGAAGAGCTTAACACTTTCCTTATTTGCTGCTGCTGCTGCTCAAAAGATTGCCATCCCTAATCCACTTGCTTCCCTTGCCCCCATGTTTGAATCTCAGAGGAAGGTTAATTTGGAATTGGAGAAGCAGTGGGAAGGAAACAGGTTAAGCACCCTCCTCCCTTTGTACTTATTGTCTCAAAATTGCGGGGGCCCCCAACTTAAAAAGGGGAGTGGCAAGCGCCATAGCTTTTAAAAAGCATGTTTGCATGTGATACACAATTAGCGTTGGATTGCAGTCACAGAAATAGTGTTTTACAGTTTCTTCTTCCTATGTTATTTTTGTGTTTGTTTATATAATTTCCCAGGGGCTCTGTTTAGATAAAAACCCGGAATAGGGGAAATACGTAGCTTAATACGCTTTTAACCATTTTATTACCATAATTAACTTAATATGGAACCTGCTGGGTTTTTTGCATCTTTCCTAGAGGGTGATGAGCTGGTGGTTCCTGAGACATCCGATAACAGCCGGAAGCAAATGGTCCGAAATATCAACAATAAACGCCGTTACTCATTCAGAGTGCCTGAGGAGGAGAGGATGCAACAGAGGAGGTCGGTATTCAACCTGTACTTGTCTTCTGTACATGCCTGTAGGCCCTGAAGACTTGTTTGTCTGCTGTCAATGTAGTTTTTTTGTTAGAACAGACATTTGTCTCTCTTCCCTTACATTTACTCTTTGTACATACTTTGTATAAACACCAGTCTAAAAATTTTAGTCCATTTAAAATTAAATCCTTGTGCAAAACAATTACTGTAATTTTCTGAATGCATGCCTCCATGTACTGTATATATGTACATTTGCGTGTGTGTGCATATACTGTATATATGAAGACTGATAATAAAAAATATTTTACAAAAGAGGATTACATTACTAATTATGCATACGTATTACTTTCAAAGTCTAGTACTTGCTGTTGTACTTTTTGGCAATGCTCATCCCATACTCTGTAACATTCCTCAGTGTTTAGATGTTATTTCTTTAATTGTCCCCTTGCGTGGCTTCTATGTAACAAATGGCTCACCTTGGAAAATGGTGTCTTGGGATATATGAAAAAACTACAAACCTTTCTGAATATTAAGAAAATGTTTTCAGTAAGCACAGGACTGATATTTCAGTGTTTCTGGCCAAGTGTTCTTTCCATCCATAGAAGTTTACATGTAACTGCAGGAAAGACATATGTAAAGAACAGAACTTCTTCTCAAATTGCCAACCTTTTCACTGGTAAAGATAGCCAGATCTGCTTTTCTTTCTGTAAAACTATTATAGCAACACTTATTGTACAGTTGGCTAGTTTTATGCTTTCTGCTTTTCAAAGATGCAGAGAACTCTTTACTTTGTATCCTACAATAGAATGGCACCTTTCTTTACAAACTCTTAAAGTTATTGTGACAGTTAAATATGAAGGGTAGTGCAATATTCTTCTAATTCTTCTTCTTCTTCTTCTTCTTCTTCTTCTTTTTTCTTCTGTCCTTCACCTCTGCCTCTATCTTTGCAGTGCCAGGTCACCACTGAGCCCGCAACTGCACCTTTTCTTGAATGTTGTCTCAACTCCCTCTCTGAGTCTCAGTAGCCCTATGGACTTTTTACGGGCATGGGCTTTTAAGGCTTTAAACCAAACTTCTGTTCTTCCCGACCCTTTCCCCTTTCATCAGGCTGAGAGCTGGTATAGAATCAACACCAGAAGTTAAAGTTACCCTCCTTTGAAACCTGGCCAGATATTATTTTTTATTTATGTTTTAAAGTAACTTTTACGAATATGTATATAAATATATATTTCACCATTTTTATGAATATCCTCATGGACAAAATACCTGACCTGGCTATCCTCTCTTGCAGGGAGATGCTACGAGATCCAGAAATGAGAAATAAATTAATTTCTAATCCAACTAACTTTAACCACATAGCACACATGGGCCCAGGAGATGGTATACAAATCCTCAAAGATCTACCTATGGTAAGTATATGAGAGTGTGTCCACACATAGATGTTAGTGTTATATATAGTAGATAAAATGAACATATAGGCATTAAATTGTGATATAAATTGGAGTTGAACAGTTAGAAGGTTTTAATGAAATAGAAAGTGACTTTCATGGGCAGGGGCTTGAAAGTGATTAAAATAGAGAAATACAAATCTTAGGAACATAGAAAGCTGCCTTAAGTCCTTTTCCCATCTTGCCAGCTTGTCTGTCCTGCCTAGATGTGATGTTCCAGGTTCTCACACAATAGGTGCTTGGAAAGACCTCTTCCTAAAATCAGTTTAACTGGAGATACCACAAGGTGAACCTGTCACTGGCAATGCCCAAGTTTACTGGCAGTGCCCATAAAGGTTAACGTTTAACAGTTAAATGTCAATGGCTGCATCTGTTGGACACACCAGTTCCACAGTTACGTTAATTAATGGATATGGAAACTCAGAACTAGTATTAAGGAAGTCATTCCACACAGTAGCCTCATGGTAGCTTACACAATAGTTCTTGAACAGTTACAACCATTGGTGAAATGCAGAAATCAGGCTACCTGCCCCTCCCATTTTTTTAATTGTTGGGGGGGGGTGCTTTGGTTGGGGAAATTTTTTTTTTAAGGCTGGTCTGCTTCTTAGTCTGTGTTGTATTTGTTTGGCGGGTGTAGGTGTTTTACCTGTTGTTGTGGTGGGGGGTGGGCTCTGAGCATTGACAGTATTTGCCTATGAAATGTGACCACAATAGTTTCTTAGATTTCCAAATGTGTCCTGGGTCCCAAAGGGTGAGTCGCCCTGAAGTTCAGTATTCAGCAAAATAGCAGACTGGTCCAAGTTCTTGCTTCTGTCTGCAGGACACACAAGTGTCCCACCAGTTTTTTGTTTCTTCTCCAAATCTTCATATTATCTGTTCTTCCCTGCTGTATATACAAAAGCATTCTGTTTTCTTTTCCTGCATATTTTTCTTAATTATTTGAGCTATACAAGAGGACATGAGAGAAGAGAGGATCACGGCAGGTGCTAAGAAACAGTTCACTGTTTCTTTTCTCATATGTGTAGTCAGCAAAATTCACAGCCCAGGATTTATCTGTATAAAGGATTACCCTTTCCTGTGGTCTTCCCTCATGATATATACCAGACACAGAGTCCTCTTCCTCATATTTTCACGATTCTGTAGGTTTCAAGCATCCCCTGCCCCCGCCAACATAGTAAATGACAGCTCTCCCCACATTAGGGTTGCTGTGCTGATTTTGCCTGTTAAAAATTTGCCATCGTTCTAATTAAACAAGCAAAAGAGGATCTTATTCAAATGCTTGCAGGAACATACTAGTAAATTATTTGACTTCCTTGGGTCCCTACAATTTTCTTTCTATTAAACTTCAGTAAAAATTAAACATTGCGCCTGATTTATCAGTATGCAAAGACACTATTTCTGTATAGTAACCAAGGTATATGCATCAATTAGTTTGAAGCTAATGGTTTTTAAAACGAATCAACTGCAGCAGATATTTCCATTTTTCCAACAACAACAACAACAACAAAATTAAGCTATTTAGTGCTTTATCAGAGGTGGGAACCTCCAGCCCACAGATCAAATGTTGCCCACCAGGCCTCCCTATTGGGCCCATAAGGCCATTTTCAAGAAGCCACCCCCATGCTATGTGTGAGGCAGCTAAGGGCAGAACATCAAAGGAACAACTGGGGACCCAAAGCTCTCAGCTATTCCTTTGTTCAAGCAAGGTGTGCAGGTTAAAGGAGACACACAGAGGGGATGTTTGAAGGCATGTTCCCATCGCATCAGCTGCTGGAACGTGTCTTGCTCAAGGCATTCAAACTTTGGAAGTATGAAGGAGCAAGGTGGAGGTGCCCTCCAAGGACATGGGAGCCTGCCTCCAAACTCCTCCCCCTCCACTTTTCCTACAAGCCTCTGTGGCTTGAAGGACAAACAGAAGGGGGAGGATGTCTGAAAGCCCTTTATAAACATCCCTGCCCAAGGATATTTAAAGAAGGGCTGTTTGAAAGCCCCATGGTTTGCTCTGAAGTCCTGACAATTGGGGCTTCAAAGAGAGGCATCACCTGAGGTCACTATGATGTCAGGTGATAGGCTGGTGGGTGGCCCTGCCCACCTGTCAACTTCAGCCAAAAAAGGATTCTGAGCCCTGTGGTATGTGGATAAGCCATTGTTTGAAGTTGACTTATTATGAAACTTTCCAGAGTTTGCTTTAATGAAATGCTACACTGAGTTTCTGTAAAAGTGAAACTAAACCCCATGGAAGTCATCATCCATGTGCACAGGAAGAGGAGGGGAAATTGTGTGAACCCGATTCATTACTCAGGCTTGTTCAGGCTCATCTACACAGCACTAAACCATGGTTTAGTATTACATGCAAACAAAGCCAGTGTGTAAAGAGTCTGAAATATGATGGCAGTGTAATGTGATACACCGTTTTCCTTCCTGATGGGTCATACAACTCTGGTGGTCTTCCTGTTTGTGTATATACAGTTTTAATTGAATAATTGGAGTTCTTCAGTAAAGTATATTAAAATTAACAGCTGGTCCTTAAGCAAAATCTCCTACAAGATTTTCCTCTTATATGGAAATCACTGAAATTAGAACATGATCTGCATTTGAGGGTACATGTAGGGAAACTGATGTGCTTGCGAATGCTCTAGTAAACAAGGGTGTACATTCAAGGTTGTTCTCTCCGCCCCCCCCCCAGAGTATCTAGATGTTTGGGTGACTGGTACATGAAGGAGGACAGAGCCAAAAACATTAGTAACTCCTCCCCATACTGTGTTTCCTTGCAATCAAATGTTTGCAGTTGTTTCGTTTATTAATAAGAAAATGGGAGTAGGATTTTGCCACCAGCTATATTTTTTCCTTTGTCTGAAGAGTACCATGCTAGGGAAGGGAGGCTTGGATTTTATATTGCCATATTTTTATTCTAGTATAGCTGTCCCCAGCACACTGAGTGAGGGATGTATTCTAGTGCACCATTCAGAAACAGGGCTGTTGTTTCCCAGTGGTGGGGATGCCTACTGAAAGTGGTGCTTCTTAGGAAGATTAGCTGCATCAAGATATGTGAGATCATTGTATGTTTGCAAGAAATGATAATGAAAATTGCTCTTAATTTGTCTGACTGTTTTAGTCCTATGATCATCAGTCATGCTGAGTTCAGTCAAACTTGCTTCTCTGTAGACATGTATAGCATTTCACTGTTAATTTTGTGACAGATCTTGGGTCTCTTTGGGTTACGTTCCATTCGCTTCTTTGTTACGAATGAATTCAGGGAAAGTTTATTTTTCTAAGATAGTTTTAAAGGCAGTCTTGTTCTTTTTTTAAGAAAAAGAAAAACCCCATACACTTAAGCATCTAGCTTTTTACCACTAGATGGAGCTGATTTTGCAGGGTGAACTTTTATTAAATTATGTATTGAATAAATGACATTTTAAAAATCTACATAGACATTTGGTCTATCTAGCCCAGTATTGTGTACACTGATTGGCAGCAGCTATCCAGGGTTTCAGTTTACCTGTGTAGAAAAGGATTTATTTTCTTACTTTTTGTGATGCTCACACTTTTTCTTTTTGTTAACAAAGGGGAATGAAAGGAAAGGGAAAAAGAGAAAAAGCTATAGATTCATAAAAGTAAACGTTATTCAAAAACTAGACCACATAAACAATGGATAAATAATACAACAACTGCTTTGTCATCTAGCCTGGAACAAAAAAGGTACATGAAGTCCTTGACTTGGCCAAGGCCTAACCCATGACTAACTTAAATCTGTAGGTTTAAAAAGGGTCTGTTCTGAGTATCTTAGATACCACACTTTTTTTTCCATTGTACAGTAGAATATGTACATCACATATTCTCGTGGGATTGAATTGGCTGTGTGAGAATGTCTGGTCCTTTGTATACCATGTATGTTAAGCCCACTTGTGTGTGTCTGATGGGACTGTGAAAGTAAAGCCTCTTCAGCCTGACCTACCTTGCACCACCCAAGGCGTGATGCCATCATAGAAGTCACTACATAGTAACACATCATGTCTTTTTCTGTTCATTTGCTAATTCAAGCAGGCTGTGAGCAGGTGAGTTTCCAGTGAAGCTCCACTCTGAGTAGCACAGGTGGTAGGGGGAAGGAGGGGACAGGATTTGATCGAAGGTGAGCCAGGAGGGAAGAATTAACTGTGATGTTTGTAGTACATGTCAATGTCTGAAGGCAGGAGAAGGGCATATGCTAGACTGCACTTCACATCCCACTGCTCACTCTCTTCAGAATAGTAATGAGTACTTTGGAGAGCGAGATTCTAAAATACGATGGTGGTGGTGGTTGTGTATGTACAAAAGCAGTCTCTGGAAATGGGTCAGGCAGTATGCAGATGATAAATATGCCTGTTGATTTACAAGCCTCATTTTTAATGAGCATATGCTCCATGATTTGTCTTCCTAAGATCACAGATACCCTCCCTCATTATCTCTCTTTCTCTGTCTCTTTCTGTCTCTCTATCTCTCTCTGTCTTGCTCTCTGTATCTCTCTTGTCTTTGATAGCCAAGCTCCCCTTATCCACCCTCTCATCATCACTCCCATCTCATCTCTTCTCCAAGCAACTTCGAGCACATCTATCACATGACTGTTAACTCAGCTGAAAATTTCCTCTCCTGTGATTCCATAAACCGTGCATATTCCCCACCTCTACGCTCTGTCCCTCGTACACCAGCCTTTATGAATATAAGGGTATGAATTGTTCAGCCAGGTGTTCCTGCTACTAACACTGTGTGGTGTTCCTTCTTTTTTGGCCTGGCTAATATCTGGCAAGATTTCAGCTTTGCAGTTGGCTTCATTTGTGTCTGGATCTTTCTTTTTTTCCTTTTGCTTCCCTTCAGCTACATTTCTCTGTAACCCCCAAATGAGGGGTGTGAACTTGGGCAACTACCAAAGTAGAAGTCCTTGACCTTTTCCCAAAATTACTAAGTATTCAAAACAACTTTTGCAATCCCACTAAAATTCACCAGAGGATTTCACATGAGTTTCCCAGTTCAAAGGACCCGCAGTAAGGAGACTGGCATCCTAAAACATGTTCGGTACATTGCGCATGCCTCCCCACAGTCCCCTTGTCCACTGAGATTAATAGATTCATAGGGGACTTGAAGGAAGCCCAGTGGTGCATCTCAATAGGATTTACCTGATAATTATGGAAAGCTTGTTGCTGTATCCAAAGGCTCACACCTGTGGCTTTTCTTTGCAACAGACAAGACTTAAACAGTTGGATGGAAATTTGGCTGCATGCCAAATGACAGAATGAGGCCTATGTATTAGAGATAACCTTGTGTATAGTGTTGGAATTCTGCATTTCAGTATGGTAATAGAATTCTGTCCACTTAATAGAAACATCATTCTGATCTGATTTACATGACTTCTGCCACACTGTCCATGTACAGGGTCCTATAACAAAAAGGAAACCCTGTGCCCTGCCCTGAAGAGTTTGAGAGTCTACATTCCAACTTTGCAGAGGCAGCAGAAGGAAGAAAGGAGAGATGGAGGCATATATATGTGCAGACACAGTCTTACATATCTTCTTTTTTCTTGAAATCTGAGTCTTTTTCTTGAAATGTTAGGTGAAGGCAAAGAGCCTAAGGGAGGGACTTAACTGGGAGATGGGATTTGAGCTGGGATTGAAAGAGAGGACAGAGAACTCCTGCGCCTTGTGGATTTGGGAAGGGAAGGGAGTCCCTGATAAAGCAGGACTGGAGAAATGGGGGCGCCATTTAAGGGAGCAGGAGGCTGTGCCTCTTCTTATTTCTAGTTAGGTCTGTAGAAGTAGGCTCTTGCTCGGTCAAGTACTTCATAAAAATGTTTTTTATTTGTGGCCTAACAATCCTGGTCTAAAGGGAGGTGTCTCTCAAATCACAGAACAATAAGGCTGAGCAAGTGGCTGAGCTTCAGGTTTGTTACCGTTTGTGTCCTTTCGTATAACTCTCCTGCCAACAAGATTGTTTACTGAACTGAATGACCCCACTGAATGACCCAGCTACATTTTCTAAGAAAGCATCTTACATTTGGTGGCTGTGAAGTAAATTGCTTCTCTTTTCTGAAGTTAAATGAGTGAGCTGCTCAGTGAGCTGCGATCAAATTTATATTTTCTACCTTTCAAAAGAATGACATTTCAGTCCTGCTGACAGAAATGCAGGATATATAAATTGTTATTATAAATAAAAAATGTATTTTTTCCATTGAGATGTATTTGCTCTGAAGATTCATTTGTTTACCTCTTTGGTCTGTTAAAAAAATAACATCGGTATTTTAAAGGAGATGCTATAGGGTTAAGCTTCACTACTATTTCCTAACTGCTATTTTGAGCAACCATGGGTTTTCTTTTTGTGCATGACGTGAAAAGCTTCTCTTTCTCTGTACTCTGATCTTAGCCGTGAGTTATACAAATGTTTAGGAAAAGGGCAATGAGGCATTTGCTTTGAGGTAAAGAGCACCTAAGAATTAGATGGACCCTGCCTTTTAGTTAAATAAAACGAGTGTATCTTTCTCATATACCTGCAGCTGTATTAGTTGCCTCCACCTTGTTTTAGACTTGATTGTGGTCATTAGACCTACTTCCCCAAATAGATATGAACTCAGCCCTTAAAGGACCAGGTTCATAGCCTGGGGGTCACTTTGGACCCACAGCTGTCCATAGAGGTGCAAGTCAACTCTGTGTCCAGGGTGGCTGTCTACCAACTCCATCTAGTATGCCAGCTGAGACCCTACCTGCCCGCAGACTGTCTTGCCAGAGTGGCACATGCTACTTATTTTCCGCTCGGACTACTACAATGCACTCTATGTGGGGCTACTTTTGAAGGTGACTCGGAAACTACAATTAATCCAGAATGTGGCTGCCAGACTGGGAGTGGTTGCCATGACCATATAACACCAATCCGACAAGATCTACATTGGCTCCCAGTACGTTTCCAAGCACAATTCAAAATATTGGTGCTGACCTTTAAAGCCCTAAATGGCCTCGGCACAGTATACCTGAAGGGAGCATCTCCACCCCCATCACTCAGCCCGGACACTGAGGTCCAGTTCCAAGGGCCTTCTGGTGATTCCCTCATTGCAAGAAATGAGGTTACAGGGAACCAGGCAGAAGAGCGTCTTCTTGGTAGTCGCATGCACCCTGTGGAACACCTGCCCATCTGATGTCAGAGTTAAACAACTCTATAACCTTTCATAGACATTTGGAGGCAGCCCTCTTTTGGGACACTTTTAATGCTTGGTGGGTTTTCTCTCCCCCCACTCCCATTTCCCTCTGTACTTTTGTTGGAAGCCACACAGAATGCTTTGGGCAACCCAGTCAGATGGGCAATGTATGAGGAAAAAATTGTTGTTGTCGTCATCATCATCATCACCATCATAAATGCCGATCGTTCTGAGTGAAGGGGATGGGCTTGCAAGCTTCTTCTTTTACTCTGCATGTCAGTGCACATTGACTCTTCCCCTCATCCTCCAGAGTTCATATTAATAAAGTCTAAAATCATTCCTCCTTGCAATATCCCAAATTGTTATGTTGCCCATATAATTCAATAGGAGCCATTAGAAACTGAACCAGCTCTCAGTTCATTCTGTATCCCTGTCCTGGATTCTGTTACTTGACTTTTAAGTTAGTGTGCTTTCCAAATAAGTGTGTTTGTTATCTGTTGACTAAACTGTCAGATTCCTGTTTTCTGACATGAAAGATTGGCATTTCCAGTCTCTTCTGCACTCAGCTTTTGAAAAATGAGAGAGACAGTTAGGAAGTAGCTAAGCCACAGACAGACAGATGGACATCAGGGTGCTGAATTTCATGTGTCCTGATCAGTACCTATTTTCATTTTCATTCCATTAGTATTTGTTTTGTGTAGCCCGTGTTGCAGCTTCTGTGAGTGAATATTGTTGTAGCCTGTATCAGATTCACTGCTTACTGGCTAGCTTGGGTGTCTAGTGAATCACTTGAAAGCTTTCTAGCAGTCAACTTCATCCTGTAACCATACTTTGTTTTCTCCTACCAGGAGGATACCCAGAGTTGTTGATCACATTGTTAATGTGACTTGGGGAAGCAAGGAACTGACCGTTAATCTTTTAACTGAGAAGTGGTATCATAAACATACAGTGCAGAGGTGGCAAACAAACTGTTCATTGATAGAAGCAGAAAACAATAATTAAGATTACCTAGCTCTTTATGCTAGTCAGATGCTAATTGGTGCATTCATAAACAGAAAAGCAGAAAAGCAATAGATTAATGGTAGAAGCATGCGTTATATATTATGTGTTATATGCAACAACAACAGAATGCTAGATCACCAACTCAAACTCAGAAAAACCTTTTATTTCATACATCCTTAAAATATGCCATTTATTCCAATTTTGTACAGGGGATAGTTGAATATAATCAAATAATAATATAATCAAATAAGCTGTGGCTATCTGTTAAAGACCAACCAAGCAATAAGCCCAAAGGAGTTTAATGAATTACAAGAGTGCATTTCTGAAATTTGAATGCAGGCAGAGTACTAATTTTAGATGTGCTTATTACTGATGTGTTGAAAAACAAAACAAAAATGCAATGAAATATAATTCCTGAAAAATTATTCTTATTTTAATTTTATTTATTTAATATATTTTTATCCTGCCTCTCAAAAAAATAGCTTCACTAAGTGGCAATCATGTAACTTGAAACTCACAGTAACCTTTAAATTGGGTTTTTAACTACTGTATTGTCACTTCACTGTGCACAGGGTTCATATGTTTACAAGTACACAAAGCAATAAGCCAATCAGTGCAATAATAAAACACAATATAATTGAAATAATCAGGAGGTATTGAAATAAGCAGCAGATAACAAGTGTATACTTTAAGGCCCGTGTAAAAATTATTATTATTATTTGTTAAATTTGTATACCGCCCTTCATCCAAATATCTCAGGGCAGTTCACAGCATAAAAAGACAGAATAAAACCACAAAATACATAATAAAAACGGGGAGAAAATGAAAACCGGGCGCCAGGTGAGCCTCCCTAGGGAGAGCATTCCACAAAAGAGGAACCACTGCAGAAAAGGCCCGTTCTTGTGTTGCCACCCTCCTGAACTCTTGAGGCGGCAGCACACAAAAGAAGAGCTTCAGATGGTGATCACAGGGTCCAGGTCAGTTCATATGGGGAGAAGCAATCCTTGAGGTTTTGCAGTCCTGAACCATTTAAGGCACTTTGAACTGGGAAGCTAATTAGAACCCACCGGAGTCGGGCCAGGAATGGTGTAATATGATCAAACCATCATGCACCAGTGAGCAATCTGGCCACCAAATTCTGCATCAGCTGAAGTTTCTGAGCCTTCTTCAGAGGTAGCATATTGCAGTAATCTAACCTTGTAGGGATTGTTAATGTCTGAATCATTCCAACCCTCAGAAAGGGTGGTCCTGGGAATAAATTCAGTGCCTATTCTTTTTCTACCCAATGTGTTTCAGAAAAGCCCTTGAAAGTGAAAGAATCTTGACATGTAGTAAAGAGAGCGGGAGAACTGGGAGATGCAAAAATCCATGTTGATAGTTAATAATTGGAGCAGGTGCTATATAGCATCTAGTCTCTGGCTACATTGCTTAGCTGTCTGCGTCCATGTGGACTTTTAACATTGAAGACATTACACTAGGGTGTGTGATAGGTTTCAAATGCCTAAGAAAATATCAGAATTTAGGAGAAAACCTTGCATATTTGGCTACTTACTGCCACATACAAATTAGCATTTTGCAGTTGCTGCTGACGGCATTCTGTGTGGTTCCATCCACAGTGCTTATTTATAGAAAGTAACCTCTGCAGTCTTGCCTGCTTGCCGCCTAGATAACCTGGAGACCAAGGCATTGTTTGACCATTTGCTTGGACTGTAGTTTGATAACCTTGGTATTTCCACTGTAAATGATTTTGCCTCTTTCCTGTTTCTCTTTGCAGAACCTTCGACCTCAGGAAAGTCGGACCATGTTTAGCGGTTCTGTCAGTATTCCATCAATCACAAAATCCCGCACTGAACCCGGACGCTCCATGAGTGCTAGCAGTGGTTTGGCGGCAAGTAAGTTGCTGCACCTTATCTCGGACATATAATGCAGTCCGTCCACATATATACAAGTGACTGGACTGGGGGGGGGGCAAAGAAACATGGTGTCACAAGTGACTTTTGAAACTCTCCGGTGCTGGCATGGTCCCCTGCTTGTGTTGGTAAGGAACCCCACACAAACACAGATCTGGCACATGTCCAATACCAGAAAAAAATATTGGGAATATTGTTTGTTTCAAATACTTTGACTCCTGCCTTCCAACCATAGACTTCAAGGCACCTTACAGCTGTTTTTTTCCTTATAAAACAATATTAACATCTAGCAGAACACAGCCGATAAGACTCTCATTGAAAACTGGCATTCGAACACAATAACAAGAGTAGCAGTAAAATAAAAGTAACTGAAGACCACTGAATACCCAAGTAAATAGAATAGTTTTTATTTGATACATAGTACGTAGGAAGGAAATGAGAGGAAATTCTTATTTGCAGAAATGATGTTTTTTTAAAGATGCAAAACGCCTATTATGTTGAGATCCTTGGTGGGGATTAATTTTAAGAAATACAAATAAAACACTACTAAAACAATAGCAACCAAGAGACTGCAAAGTCAAATTACACATTTAGTATAATTGGTGGTTTGGCCCAGTGTAAAACCAGATTAGTGCTGTGTGTGTGTGTGTGTGTGTGTGTGTGTGTGTGTGTGTTGGGGTGTCGATGAATAATTGTTGAATAATTTACGGAGGATGCAGCTGGGAAACGGAAGCAGGCAGTTCAACAAAAATTAGCTTCAGGAAAACAATTACTAGAGCGTACAGCTCTAATGCCTTCATATTTGTTATGTAGCTAAATCCCTGGGTATTTTCCTAGGATCATCTGCACAAAATGGCAGTGCTTTGCGGAGGGAATTCTCTGGAGGTAGCTATGGAGCAAAGCGTCAGCCAATGGCATCCCCTTCGGATGGCTCCTTGTCCTCTGGCGGTTTGGACCAAGGCAGTGATGCACCAGCGAGGGACTATGAGCGAGAGGTGGGTATAACGTGGGAGGGGTGGGGAGGCAAGGGAAGCTGCTCCACAGAGCCCAGGTTCTTTACTCTGCTGTGCGCAAACAAAAGGATAGAGAAGTGTTGCACAGGACAGTGACCCCAGGAAGAATAACCACAGGTTTTACTGAAGGAAAAAGTATTTTCCTATTTAAAATATAATAGAAATCCCCAAGGTCTGTATGACTTGAAATGCTGTGGATTTAGATAATAAACTTGTTAGCAGCACTTGTAGATTTTTCTTCCTTTGGCACAAGAAGTGCTAGTGATGCATCAAAGAGAATTACTACTGCCTCTAATAAGTAACCAAGCAGGGCATGAATCTAGGCAAAATTAAGTTTTTAGTCTCACTGATTTCACTGGAAATATTTTAACATGTGCTTCATTTTCCCACTGAAATCAATTTGACTTTTGTCCATATTCTATTATACTAGTTTTGCAATAAGGAAATCTATATTCTGAATTTTTACTGAATGTTGGTTCACATTAGTTTGTAGAATTTGACAGGGGCAGGAAGTAACTGGCCATAAAGGCGGCTGGTTGCCAATGGAGGAATACTGGCATTGTCCTGCCCAGTCCACAAGCAGCTTTGTTATCCTTAAGGCCAGTTGATGCAGTCAGGGATGCATTCACACAGCAGAGTTCTCTATGAATCAAGCTTCCTGTGAATACAACCACCCCTTCTCAGCAGTGGCTGCTTTGATTGTGACAGACACCGCTGTCCTTGGCGGCAGTTTGCACAATGAAAGTGATGTTTTCATTAAGGTATTTTTTGCAGCATGTTTTGCAAAAATCTGCAGTAATCCATATGAGTTGTTCATGTCAGAACAAATAACAGAGTGTGATATCCTTTGTACAAAACCGCTGCCAAATCTCCTGTGTCATGAAACAAGAGAAAGAAAACAAACGGAAGGGGAAAACATTTAAACCAATTAGAAGCAACAAAAATATTAATCACCTTTCCAAGTTCATCCAGCATATGCATTAATATCTGGCAGGTGTCTGTCTGGTATTGTGCTAATGATCTATGTGCAAATGTTCTTATGCATCTTTGGGAGCATTGCTTGCATGGAGGCAAAATGTGAATCAGCCCTGAATCAATGGAGGCCAGTTCATTTGAGCAGATGGGGTGCTGCCCCACCAATCTCAATCTCAGCTAGCCCACATTTCCCTGCCTTCTTCCTTACAAGGTGTGCAGGTGGTGGCACTGCCTACTAACCTTCCTCCTCCTTGTACAACTCCACAAGGGAGGATGGGGACAAAAGTGGAGTCTGGCTGCACCTACTGTTGGTCTCTCTCCCGTATGCCCTACCAACCCCAAGTGGACACCGGCCAGCTCTGCCCTCAGTGGTGCACTTCAAGAAAATAACTTCTGGTGTTTTGTTCCCTCCCAGCCACTGTACTTGGGAGGCAATATGAGATGCGTCCTCTTGAGAAGTTAGAGCAGTTGGTATCACTCCCTCGTGTGCTAAGGCGTGGGGTGTCGGGACAGGGCAGTCACTTGGTTCCAGACAGTTCCTGTCCTCGGTGTCCCTTTCCCCTTACTCCCACCCAGGCCTTCCTCTTCTGCTCCCGCTCACTGATATGTTCTCTTGCATTTTTTGGGCTGCAGGACTCTGACTCTCCAAGGCATTCGACAGCTTCTAACAGCTCCAACCTGAGCAGTCCTCCCAGCCCCATCTCTCCTCACAAGACCAAGAGCCTCTCCCTGGAGAGCTCTGACCACGCAAGCTGGGACACATGAACTGCTTCAGCACTCAGATTTTACATCTCAGCAGCTTACTGTCCCCATGACTCTCCGTTTGCTCTCACTGTCATCGCCCCCCAGCTTCCCTCCAAAAGCAGACTAGGGGAGGGAGGGGGGGAAGAGAGCATATCTTGTCTTCTCTGACACAAGCAGCGTAAGCTCCCCCCGATTCAAAAGTAGCAGCAAGCAAGAGAAAACCTTGAGGAGGGCAGAGTGGGGGAGGGGTTGGTATACAAGAGATATTGGTATATTTGTATTAGTATCTATTTTATTTCATAGGGTTACAGCTGTTTCCATTTTTATGGTTATATTCCACACCATGCCACTGTTCCAAACAAAACATAGTAGTGTTAGACTGACCAAAACAGAATCTGAAAGAGAGAAGCAGATTTTGCTTTGAGGCACACAGTATCTCATTGTATTTTTTCAAGAGTTAGCACAGCAACACCCACCCATCTCTGGTGATGGGGCAAAATTTGCCCTGCAGGGGCAGATAACGCACGCTTTCAGCAACCACTCTATTTGAATGTCAATCTGATTGTTGCCAGCAAATCCTTATTGATTTAAAAAGAAATGATGCATATTTTACTACAGTAGAGTTTAAGTAAATACGCAAAATTAAGAGTTAGTACATATGTATATAATAAAAGAAGAAGCATTGTGATGCAGCGAAAGATGGATTCCTATTTAAGAGATCCTTTAATTTAAGAAGACTTGTGTTGTTCCCTTTTTCATACTAAATAATCTATGGATTGAGGATGTGATCTGGATATAGAACATGGCACTGGATAAAAACAGCCTGGAGGGAGATTCCATCCTCACAATGTTCTCTGTAACATTACCTTCTTGTCAGTAGATGAACTAAAGCCATAATTCTCACTTTTTAACTATATCTCCCTCTTCTACTGTCTGCTTCACTGTACAAGCAAAACTCATGATCTGCTGGTCGACAAGCCTGAAGTGAGCTCAAGGGCAGTTTTGCAGAAAATCAGTATTCAGCCCCAAGCAAAACTGAAGTAAATGCAGCCAAAGCCAGCGCAAAGAGATAACTAGTTTTGGGACGGTTGGAGCTGGGTTTCCAAACCCATCTGGCCAGTTAATAGCAGTAACCACTAGCTTGTAAGTTGACTTTCCAAATTTTAGTGATCAGCCTACATCAGCCAAATTCAAACAGTGCTGGTCTTGAAATAGAATCTTTTAAATATATAACTTGCTGCTCTAGCTCACTGAAGGCTATAACGTGCTGTTGGTCTTCAGAATTTGCTAGAACGCCGGGTGGCTCAGGACGCCTATTCCGAAGATGTTTATTATGTCATCCCTGCTCTCCCACCGGGCCTGACCTAGTGTGTTCAGTGCTATTATTGCCGTGAAATACTGTGACGGTTGGATCCCACAGAGAAGCGCTTGGCAGGGCAAAGCATTCCTCTCTGAAGAGAGCAGACAGTGGAGGTCCATCACCACCTAAATAAACAGTAGCAAGCAGTGCAACCTGCAAATGGAGGGCAAGAACAAAACAATAGAAAAAGTCCACTTGCCTCCTCCTTTTCCTTCTTGAACAAGTTGAGTGCGGTTTGCGATTTGAGACTAGATGAATGTGATTTTTCTAATCCTTGGGATCATTACTACCTTTATGACGTGACCAAGCTCAAGCGGATAAGAGTTTGGATGGTGGTGTGTGTTGAATTTAGAATACTAGTCTTCTGGGTTTTGGTAACACTTCATGGCTCTCATCAAACCATTCCAACCAAACAACAAAAGTGCAACTAATGGTGTTTCCCAGGTTCCCTCTGAAAAATGTCAGCTACCACCATACAAGGTACTGATTTAGAAGTACTCTGAGATACAGAGCGTTGTCTTTCACGATCTAGCTGTATTGAGTCTGCTAGTTGTTGGTTCTGTGTCTTCTTCTGCATTAAGTGGACTGCCACACCCCAAGCTACCATTTAGCTATTTTATACTGGGGGGAACAGTTGTGGGTGGGTGGGGGGACACACAGCTTTTTTCTACTGCGTATGGTGTCCTAATCCTGTCTGTGGAATTTGGCTTGTCAAGAATCTCCAAGTTGATGATGTGTGTTTTGTTGTCACAGGTATAAAAACAAGAGATTTGCAAATTGCATTTCATAGCGGCCAGTTTTGACAGTTTTGCTGAGCAGGAAATTAGCATGTCTAAGAGCACAAGGACAGGCATAGTTTAAAATCCATTGACTACTTCTTCAGCACTGGCTACTAAAAGGTTCTACTTCTCTTCCACCCTGTGATATATTATCACTCATGCCCACCCACCGTTCTATACACTTGTGAAGAGATTGGACTTAGTTATTTCTGAAATACAACTAGTGGGAAATAGGTTATCTGATTAAGGCTGCCAGGGCTTGAAATCCACAGTAGGCCCAAGTGATTATCCACTTCAGGAGTTACCTTAGACGTCCTTGCAAGGTCCTGTGGCAATTGATCTGTGCTCCATCTGAGAAAGAAAATTAGACAAGAAGGCACCTGTCTAGAATGAGAAGAAATTAGCATCACAAGAGTTACATTTTATACGTTGACCCATTTCACAAATTAAAAGTATTCTTCTTTTCATGCCGACCTAGGATGCATTCCTAGTACATTATGGACACATTTGAGCATCGGCAGAATTGAAAACATATCTCTGAAATGGTTGGCTGGTGAAGTTAAGCTTTGCTGATAGGCACTGCTCAGTTTCCAGGCACACCTGATTACATTTCTCCAAGCACTTTCATAGTCTCTAATTGAATCCTGACTCATCTGATGACACCTTTGTGTACATAGTTTGAGGCTATTATTTCCCTTACTGGGCTAATTCAGACACCTCAGTCATTGCCTCTTTACGCTTTTAGCCCATTTCTTGAGGCTCAATAAATCAGGTGTTGATTGTAAACGAACCTCAGATTGTACAGCTCCGTTATTTTTTCTATATTAAACACACACAGCCTATACATATCATTACTTTTCAAAACACATTCCTGTCATAATATCCATTTTTATACTGCTGAATCAGTCTCATTCGCTGGCTTCTTAAAAGTTGATTTGTGTGTTGTTTCATGTTCCTAACCTGCATATTTTTTTTTAGAACAGTTTTGGTTTTGCGCGGGGAGGGGGGGAAATACAGTTGATATTTGTGTTACTCTCTCAGGTATTTGAACGCAGCAGGATGTCTTCACACGATAAGCATGGAATGCAATAATGTATTTGGGGCATGAGGTTCACCAGAGGATGTATCCTGAGCACAACTAAGTTTTTGTTCTGAAATGATGCAAACCTGGGTAGGTGATTGGATTTGGGGTGGCAGTTTTAAGGTCTCGACTGTGAGAAAATTATCTGTGTCTTTTTTTAGCCAGTGCGCAGTAAGCAGGGCCTCAAATTCTTTTTCCCACCTGCAAAGTCACAAAGAAATTGGGAATCTGAAATCAGGCTTGTTGGGATTTTCTTAGCCTTACACCGTTTCACCACAGGTGTGAAAGTTACCTCTCTCCAACCTACGTTCCATATATAGGTGCCCTGTTTGGAGACCATAGGAAGTGCATATGCCTCAGGGTGAATGTCACTGAGAGGCTCATGACAAAAGTTTAGCCCAATGCAATAAGGCTTTGTGCCTAGAGGCTAATAAGGGCACAAGCCTGTTTCATTCCAAAATCATAGTCATCAGGCTTTTCCTGGAATAGGGTTCTGAGCTTCTAAGTAGTCTACAAGGGGCCTTCAGAGATCAAATATGCTGTAGATTTTCAACTTCTATGACCATGTTGTGCATTAAGGCAATTCCACATGACTTGTCACCTTGTCTTCTTCATTCTATAAATGCTCCCATCCTACATAAGAATTTTTTTCACTCATGAGGAAGCAATCCACAACCAAAAACAGTGTTGGTATTTCACAGTAATTATACCTGCCTTTTTATGTATGATGGTTTCATATCATTTATTTTTTAAAAATATATTTTTAGGGATTTTTTTTTCATTGTAATATTATTGTACAGTTTTGCATGGCCTAGATGTAATCACTTTTTTGTTTTGTTTTAGAGTATAAAAGCTGACAAGTGTGCGTGTGGGGAAAAGATTTCTGCTTTTTGCCTCTTCTCACTCTTCTCTTATTTTTGATTTATGCCCTCAATGTTGTAGAGGACATTGTAAGAGATTCTCTGCTCCAGAACAATGATGTAGAGTCTATTGCACAGAAATATTTAAGGTGGATCAGTCAATGATGTAATAAATGACAGGTCACCAATATTTTATGTTGGTAACACTTAATATTAACCTACTTTGATGTATTGCAATAAAACAGGGAACTATTAGAAATACAGATGGTTTGTCTTTTTTCCTACCCCACCAGACTTTTATGAGGCAAGCGGGGCTACAGGGGATATGATGGGGTAGTCACATAATTTCAGCAATTGAAAGTTTTGTTCTTTCAGCAGGTAGTTTCTTTTGGGATTGCTTTCCCTGCATCTAGCTGCTTCAAGCCATGAGCCATCACACCCATCAACAATGATACAGCTATGGGGAGGCCTAAGCTAGGAGATGCAGAAGGAATACACTGGGTTTGGGGGAAACTCAGACCTTGAAGGCAATTAGGAGGACCGCATTCTACAAACCAGGCCCCCAACCATTAGAGAGGAAGGGCAGCAGAAATCAATTAAAATAAAAAGCAGGTTGTGGTAAGTAGCTTTCAAATGCACAAGATAGAACTCTTCTTGAACAGAAAACTGAGCTTTTCATTAAGAACCTTCTGCCACATGATTTCCTGTTCAGAAGCTTCGTGGTTTTTCTGATTCCAGAGTCACAGAGAAAGGATGCAGTGTTTGCTTTTCAGAATGCTCCACCCCTACAGCCACAGCTACTGGACGGGAGAAGGGTGCATCACATCCCGCACTTGGTTGTGCAAAAGGGTCTGTGAGTGGCGCACATAATGGTCCTCATGTGATAGTCACGACATGAAGGGTCTGATTTTATTCAGCACAAAATCAGGCACACTTAACTCCACAGTGAAGTCCATTGATTGGATGCAATCAGTGGATTTAACCACACATAGCTTTGTGTGGTTATTCCTTTAGACTTCCTTCTCTTCCATCCTCAGCGGAGAAAACTTCCTTGTTAATGTTGCCTAGTTCCAAAGATGATAACACGGAGTCGTTTCACACACTGAAGTTTTTGTGGTCTCTCCTTTTTGGCCTGATTTCTGATGTGTTTTCCCCAGGAAACTCCTTTTTACAAAAGGAACAGCAGCAGCAGCACAGCTAATGCATGGTTGGCAATGCCTCTAATAGCACTTATACAACCCCTTATTTTTTTATTTGCCCTTGACATTAGCTGGGTCCAACTTCCTGGGGGAAAAAACAATTCCCAGATGGCAGATGCCTTGATCAGAAAGTAAGTCTTTCCATGCAAATTACTTTTTATAATAGCTCAGTGTGGAAACCCTACTGGAACTGGTTTTGAGGTAGAGGTTTTAGTGGGGTTTTTCCTGCCCTGCTTTTGAGGCGGTTATAAAGCTTACAGCCTTCAGGGATTTAAAAAAATGATTTTAACTTCTTTGCATTTTAGTGAGAACTCCCTCCGACTTCCCTACAAAGAGGATTAGGTGAACATAAAGATATGGCTGCTCAGACACAGGAAGCAGTCTGCTTTCCAATACAAGAATGAAATCCTTCAAGTGACCTTTTGTGTAAACTGGGTTTAATAGGTATCCTTTCAGTGACGATTTTTGCTTATCCAAAGCTGCTGTTTTACATCTGCTCAATCAGGCTCTCAACTGGTATCCAATGTGTTTGGCTCAACAAGTCCCCTTGTCAGCTTTTTATACTTTTTATCAGTGCTTTAACCATCTCTTCATATTTCACCTTCGCCACCCCCTCCAAATTACATACTTTGATTCTCCAAAAATGAAACATTTTAAAGTGTAAAAAGCATTTTCTAGTTTGAATATGTCAAACGGCAAATGGTTTACATGCCAGATCAGCCAACATTTTAACTGTAATTAAATATAGAAGCTTAAAAGGATACAAACTTCAGTTATTCTTCTCAAAGTCAACTTTTAAATGAAGTTAACAGAGCACAACTGCGAAGAGCAGCCCAGAGGAAAAAGTAAGTTCGCTACAGTCCTCAATATGCATGCAAGGGGGTTGGGTACTTAAGCCCTGCCTGCCAAGGTGGCACAACTCCCACCATCGTCATGCATGCAGAGACCTAACTCCTGCTCTGTGAGGCTTTCTGTGCAATTGAAAACCCTAATTGCTGAGGGTTATAAATCGCCCAAAGTGCCACCATCTGTAGAGCAGGCTCCTGGCCTCAAGCTATGCACCAACATGGCAACAGTGGGAGGAGTTGTGCAGCTCTGGCAGGCAGGGCTCTAAACAGGTCCATCACACAAGTAACACCTAAAGGGGGCTTGCATCTCAAATGTGAAGCTTATAAACAAAGAGCAGCACTAGGAACTAATCGAACAATTGGGGCAAGTAAGTAAACTTCCTGCATTCTAGCCATCGTCTAACTAGCATTCCTACATGCAGCATGTCAAATAAGCGGGCTCTCGTCATGCAAAAAGGTAAGAGAAGCTGTATTATGAACCACTTGCATGGAACGGTGTGCCACACAATTAGGGCCGATTCATAAAATCTTAACAACAACAACTCTTTTGTAATGGTTTGCATTTGGATGGTTAATAACCTCCCAAAAACACAGGTTATAGTTGTCCACACACCTGACTTGCTAAATGTCTCATTATTCAAACAAATAGGGCCAAATGGTGCCAGGCCTCAAACAGTGTTACTATGAAGTTCCTAAAATCTGAATGGTCCAAGGAATTTTTGCCCTTGCTCATGTAAACTGGAATTCAGGGTCAAACACAGAAATTGATTCAACATACTTCTTCATGCAACACATAATTTATGAAGTGCATCTCTCCAAGATTTGAATGAAATAATGGAGGATAAGCGGCCATGACTGCTAAACTGGACCGTTACATTCAGAGGCATTCCCTGAATACCATGGGCTGAGCATAAGCCAACAAGGAAGGATTTATAAATTCTTATGGCACAACTGCATGACATTCCCATAATTTACCAGTCCAATACAATCTGCTGTAACTTGTCTCTAATCATCATCTTCACCACTGCACTTCCACCTGGGTGGAGATGGAAGATCTATTTTGAGCTATAGGATAACTACTATTGTCTACCCAGCCAGATATTGCTTCCCTGCTTTAAAGGTGAAAACTAAAATTGTCAGCAGAATATAGTGGTTATGAAACAAAGTACTTAAGAGGCATTATTACTGGAACAGAATCAGAGTAAGCAGAAGTGAAAAAGTACCCATACACTTGCTTCTTCTTCCAGGTTAGTAAACCACAGCCAAGCCACCTTCTGCACAAGCACTTCTTTATTGGAAATCGGTTGAAAGTTGTACAGCTACAACTAACTGTTGTACAAAAAAACCCCTCCCAAAATACATTTGCCGAGTTGCCTCCAATTGCTTAAAGTTGTGCGTTCAGCTACTTTAATGTATATTATGCTTTCCAACAAAATCTTGAAACACCACTGATAACACAGCAGTATCAATCTCCCCACGCCCATCAAAGGTTGCATTACAAAGATGCAGGCATGAAGGTGGAGATAGTTCAGCTTCACTGCTGGGTTTCTATAAATGCCACAGTTAAGAGCTTTGGCTTCTCTAATTCTCCATTTAACGAGAGAACCCCATTAACTACATTGCATATACATTCAGCTCAAGAGAATCAGACGGCTGCCACATTTGAAAGTAGGGCATTCTACATACGCCACTGCACCACTTTCTATCAGATCCTTGAAAATATCCACTTTCCTTGAAAACTTAAGAGACTGAAGGCATAAAGTAGGCTATGTACACATCTTACACTGCACCATCAGGAGATCCCGACCTTTATGGATTCCCAGCAAGCATCATACAAAAATAGTATTCTCTTGTGAGTTGTGTTGGCAATCTAAACTTCATAGTATGAAACCATTTGTATCCTGCCTTAGAAGAAGAAAAATTAAAGGACCTATGAAAAAAGGGTGGGGGGAGAAACCACAGACATTTGGAGAACTACAATACGATTTCAATGCCAACTTGTTTTGGTTCTCTTTCCATCACCCCTTGCTTTGCTTTGCTTTGTTTTGTTTTCAATAAAAAAACAAACTGGTACACAGCTATCAGTATTAAAATCTGAAAAAGAGAGCTGATACCTGGGACAGTGAGATACAGAGCTGCCTAACCTCCCCTCACAATCCCTACACTAGGCTACAACCATTTTCCTGTAAAAAGAGAGGCTACACAGGGAATCAGGTGAGTGTAAAGTGGAGGAGAAAAGTCCAACGAAAGAACAACACTGTCCTTAGAACCGGGTATTCTGCTTCCAGGAGCCAGGCTGCTGGTGTTCTGGGGGGTATGAGAGAGAAGACACCGCACTGTGGTTTGCTAGAACCTTGGTGATTGGCCATAAACCCAAGGGGACATTCAACAGTTCTGTGCTACTATTCCTTCTTCGCCTTTCTACTCCAGTATTTTCTGTAGGCTTCCTGAAACATGTCCTTGCATGGAATTTGGGCCTTCAGCTTGGAGCAAATGAGGAATGAGCCTCCCATTTTCCGATGAAGAGAGTAGGTCTCCTCGGGGGGTGGGACTAGCCTGTGCTTCAGCATGACTGGAATTAAGCCATGTATCTTCTCGGTGGTGTTTTGGTTGCCGAAGTCAAAAGGTTCACTGGATGCAAAAGCTTCTCCAAGGATGAGGACAGCGTTCAAGTGGGCGTCTTCCATAGCCTGAACAAAAAGAAAATGGAAAGAAGGGTGGTTTTGATCAGCTGTTCTGAATAGTTCCACTGAGGAAAAAGAAAGTAAAAAGGCAGCTACCATGTAACTCCAAACTCTACAGGTCATGAAGACGATGAGGAAATATCCCATTAACAGCAGGAATAGTTAATCTCTCTAGCTCTAGAATAAACATTCACAAATAACTATACTAGGCTCAGCCCACTTAGCACTGAGAGTCAATTACTGTATTGCAGGAATTGTAGTCTGGAGGGATAAATGTTCTATTTGTCTGCTCATAAGCAGAGGCAGGCAGACTTTAGCCAGGTGGTGCCAGGTGTGACTGGCATGGTGGTGGAGATGTCAGTGGGCTTTGCTTTTTAAGATAGTGTACACCAGGCAGTGTCAGAACCCAACACTTCCAATCCTGTGCATGCTTATTCAGAAGCAAGCGCCACTAATCACAACCCAACACAGCTACTGTGAAGGAGATACAAGATCAAAGACTATTTCCTTCACAGCCTAATGTGGGGGCACAGACTTTCCATATGATCAAGGATAGCAAGGAGAATGTTCCTCCAAGCTGCTGACCCTTAATAAACTACCTCTCACTTCCATTGTTAATTCAAATGGGGACTCTCTGAACAGGAGTCTTTCTCCACAGGAAGAAAAATGAAGGACTGCACCCATCTCAGGTTTTCACCAGGCCACAATTCTACAATATTACAGTGCATCATATATAAAAAAAAGTCAAGCTAAATTCAAATAAATTATTGCTGGCAACAAAGAGTATTGCGAGGCCAGCAAAGTGGATATTCTGTTACTTCCTACCAGCATATTTAAAATGCTAAAAATCTTAGGATAATCCTACTCAAAAACCAAAGGAACTTCTCCACTGCTCCAACCATGGACACCCAAATTAGAATATTTCCAGCTCCTTCTATGCAACCATGACAGCTCCAACACCCCACAACTCCCCAGTCCCATAACTCTGCAATCCACCAGAATAAAACTTGAATGGCAACGCTTTGAAGCCTACTTAGAAATAATAGGAAACTGCCTCACCCTGAATCAGAACTCTGGTCCATCTATCTCAGTATGGTCTACAATGACTGGCAGTGGCTCTCTGACATTTCGGATAGGGGCCATTCCCAGCCCTACTGAGAGATGCTAGGGATTGAACCTGGGACACGAGACACCCGAGCAGTGTGTTTTATAGCATCCTTGCCAACTACCCACACTTTGCTGGAAACAAGCTTCCAAACCTCCAGTATCTCAAGCTAAACACTCACAGAGACATGGCGGGGAACTTAAGACATTCACCATTACAGGCTCAAGCCAGCTGCCCTGATCACACACCCAGATATTAGAAGAATGAGTGAGTATCCTGCATGACAAATTAAGCTGGATTTGAAAGGAGTGGTGAGATATGCCACTTAAGAGCTGCAGCTAATGTTGACCCCCATGGTGGCATTGGCAAGAGACACTTAAGTTCTATAGATACAATAAATATGTAGCTTCAAAAGGGGAGTAATTATTTAGCTGAAGTTTCTAAAGGAGACTGACGTCGCACCGGTAGCTAAACAAAGCATTGATTGTTTGGTGCTACTATGTACCTTGTTTTCATAGCCAGTTAGGAATTTCATTTCTATTGATTTCTTCAGCACCTTCTCTCTGTCCATGTCAGCAGCTGCTTTGATTAACTGTATTGGAAGAAGAAGAAAAATTCAAAAGCCAGGTGTAGGTGGGAGCCAATCCTATTAAGCACTTCAATAGCAAGGAAAATCCTTTACTCAGAAACAAGGTCAATACTAGGAAGGCTACATGTTTTTATCCCACAAAAAAGAATTCGGCCAAGCCTTTAAGAAGCATGAGCAGTTTTGAAAGATCACAAACTTCAGCTGTCTTCACTTGAGACCAGAAATGTGATACTAGGATGAAAGGAATGCACGCCCTTTTTTAATGTAACTTTTTATTGTGTTTTATAAACAAGGATCATAGGAATAATAAATGATACAAATGAATAGACCAAGTCTTCACATGTTATTTGTATAAAAATAGGATAATGAATTTGCAGAAATAATGTCTGTGACATACAGTTCATTATTAGTGGTCAATGAAGAAGTTACTGGTTTGTGAACTGCTTTAAGTGAAGGGAAAACCAGACAGAACAGAGTTAATGGAAAACATTCCACATTGCAAAGCTAAATGCCCAATTGGGAGTCCTTGTGGTTGTGCTTAAATTAAGAGTTAGTAATGGTCATTTTCCCTCCTGTGTTACCAGTGAAACAATAAGAAGTGTTGGTATACTGAGAATGGATGCCCTAATTTAACATGGCTAGCTACAATTGAAACACAGGACACAATCCAACCCATGAAAAATCAGCAGGCAAAAGGGGGCTCTACTCTTTGCTGGCAGCATGGAACCCTTTTCAAGAGTCCAGATGTTTGCCTTGAGCAGATACTGCCAGAGAGGGGGAGAATACTTTTCTTTTGTTTTTGTACTACTAGGAAAATATTGCAGTTTTCACTGCACAAGTCCCACTTAAGAAAAAATCTCTGGGTCCTGAGCAACAATACCTATTTCACTGGGAAAGGACCAATATTTTCCCTATGGCAGTTTGCTAAAAAGCAATTTTGAGTCTGTCCACAACAACAATAAAATATGTACTCGGGTCATTTAAATAAAAACAAACAGCAACATGTCTTAAGCATTACTAAGGCTTTACAAGCACTTTCCCTCACACCATCAACTCCCTTTGCACATTTTAAAAAATCCACATTAGGAAAAAGTGAATTATGACAGCAGTCCAAGTTCTCCAATTTTAGAACGCAACAAATAAAGTTGGGCTGCCTGAGATAAGGAGAACTAAAAAGCTAGTTAAACCTCTAGCATTCTTTCAATCCAGCGACTTACAAGTCAAACATGCTTCTCAAGCCCACAAAACAACAAAGACCCATCAAAAAAGGTTTTAGGAGTCCTCACCTCTATGTAGAGGTCTGTGAATTCCTCATCAAAACCCCGGGTTGCTCCAAAATCCAGAAGCGCCACCTGGATGAGATGTACAAATGTGGTTTTTTTACACTAGAACAGAAACTATTACACCGAGAGCATCCGGATGTTTGTCAGAACAATTTTAAGTGCTACAAGGAGCTGGAGTTCTTCATAAAGCCACTTTCTTTTCCCACTTCTTATTGGAATAGGGCAAAAACCTAAAACAGCAACACTTCACAGGTTGCTTTAGTACATGCGCTTTTATATACAAAAACTGCATGGCTGGCAAGAACCCTCCTTTCATTGGGAGAATTTCAGCACTTTGTCCCTAGTTCTAACAAAGCTAAGGAAACAAGGACAATCGGACAGGCCCACCTGGTTGGAAGGGTCACATAGCACAAACATGAGGATGGACCAAGTAGCCACCATGGAAAGTGGCTGCAATGCGCAGCTATAGGAAGGCACAGGGTTTATGCTCAAGCACACATGGACGGGGCCTAGATTAAGATGCAGAATCCCCTGCAATGCACACACCACATTTCCTTAGCAGAACAAGTTGGTATGGAAAGGGTCTTCTGGATGTTGAAAGTTTAATAGCCATTGCTCCAGTGCTCTTAAAGAAGGTAAATCTCTCTAGCGCTTGGGGAGTGGGGGACCTGCGGTGCTCTGCTTAATTTCTGGCCCTCTAGACCCTGGGAGCCCAAGTCCTGCTCTCTGATATGTGAGAGAGGTAGGTGGGGTGGCACAGAGGAAGAGCTATACCAGGCATAGGCAAACTCAGCCCTCCAGATGTTTCGAGACTACAATTCCCATCACCCCAGACCACTGGTCCTGTTAGCTAGGGATGATGGGAGTTGTAGTCCCAAAACATCTGGAGGGCCGAGTTTGCCTATGCCTGAGCTATACAGTCCTGCAATGCTGGTTTTTCCAGTGGGTCAACGGCCCTTCAATAGGAAAACAGCTTCCCCCATTCCTGCTCTAGGCATCGGGCAGGTGAGAATTTCTTACCTTTTCCTTCAAAGACATCATCAGTGGAATTCTATTTGATTGTCAGCAGAGTCTTACTATCCCTCCCATTGCTGTATCGTTTCCATGAAATATGATCCCTTTTCCACCTAAAACCCACAAACTCTAGATTCCAGGCACTACCCTCAAACCCACTTGCCCAACTAATCGAACCACCTCCACCTAAAGGAGCACATTAGCCAAGAAGCCATTGCAAAAAAAGGAAGCGAGTGCTGTATAAGCAGCTAGTGCCAAGTCCAGCTAGAGCCATTTACCTTCTGCAATTCTGGGTCATAGAAGAAGTTGGACCAGTTTGGATCCGTCTGCATGTATCTGAACTCAAACAACTCTCGCAGGCACAAAACGAGTATGTTGTGGCAGATCTGCAAAAATTGCAACAAAGGGACGAAAATGAATTAGAAAAGCTCCCACTTGCATCAGATTAGGTAGATATGCAGAATATACTGAAACTGTAAGTCACAGCTATCATGAATGTCTGTCTGGCAGGCAGAGGATGCTACAAAGACTCCTGGGATTAGGTGGATTACACATCTCCTTGGGGAGGGAGGCAGGAGGAAAGAGAGAGCGATGCCAAAGAGTCACTGCTTTGGACAATGCACAACTACAAAGCTCAAGAAGAAGTGTGGTCCCTTTTGTGTAACATGTGATATAGTCAGGGGATGAAATTATGTTGCTCGCCCAACTACAAGGACCAGGAACAGGTCACTTATCTGCCCTCTAGCTTCCAGAAAGGCTGGAGTTATTGAGCCAGCATTGTGGCCAAGTTAGTGGCCCAGAGTAGGAATGCCATTTACAGGAGAGAAGGGCTGAGGAAGAAGAGAGCACCAATTGCACCATTGTTTTGGTGAAAATTTAGTTTAGCAACCAAAGGGTCAGGATTTAAGTGTGCACCTCAGATGGGAAGGCAAAGTGCAAATGTGGCAACATGTGCTTGAAAACACAGGACACCATACAGGCACACTTGTCAGCAGCCAAGACCAGCTTCTGCTGACACAGAAAGAGAACTGCTGGATCAGACCAAAAGTCCAGCATGAGAAACCTTGCAGTGCCCAGAAAAATGCAGGAGAGGAGAAAGGACAGAGCAGCAACACGTCAGAGTGGCAAAGCCATGTACCCAGGAGTTTTGTTGTCTAGAGACCAAACTTTATACTCCTGCTCAGTGACTTGCTGACAGCTGTTAAGGGTGTTTAATGGCCTCCTATGGGGCACGTCGGAATACCAGACCAAGTCCATCTGCCAATCTGGCTGTAGTCAGACTTGCTTGTCCTCCCGTTAACTTTCTAGCCCCTTACTATATTTGGCTCAGATGCTCTTTTGTCCATGCTTCACCTCTCGTCTGACCTCTTGTTTACCCAGTACTTTTCTACCAGGCTTCAGCTGCTAGGATTGGGCCAACTGAGAAACCTATATTTGGGTGCTTATGCAACAAGAGGGGGGCGCGTTTCTGATCGCTCGTTCCAGGGTGAGATGATCTCTTTTTCCAAGCTGGTCATCCTACACACAAGGTCACACTGTCTGTCTGAAAGATGGTTTGCAGGTTAGCAAAGCCGGTGGGCTTTGGGGTCCCCAGTGCAGGTTGCCCCAATACTGAGGTATGCAGGACACAATCAGTAGCAAAACATTTTCTAGGGTGCCCACCATTCCCAAGCGATCGATTTCTGCACACAATACTTAGCATGGCCCCAACCTGTCCATTCAAAGGACCTCTCTCGCAAAATGGCCTGAGGAAGAGGCTCGTGTCCTCTGGCTCTACCGATCTCCTTCCTCCACCTCCAAGCTGAAAAGGGGCCAGGCGACCATACCTCGTTCCTTATCTCCTGGCTGAGTTCTTGGGCTTGATCCAGCGGGAACCCAGTCACCAGCTCCGTCGTCAGGACATGTGGGCTGCACAGCTCCTCCACCACAGCAGGAACATAGAAAAAGGGGTGGTCCTTGAGCAGCTCCCTGAGGGGCAACAGACAAAACGCTAAGAGCTGCCCAACCCCTGCAGGGGCCTGGGGTTTCTGCAATATCTGGGCTCAGCAGAGGTGATGCCATTTTGCCCAAAAGCAGCCACTTGCTACTCTAGATTCTTCTCTGAGCCTCTTTCCCCCTGGTCCAACAGCATGCACAAGCCCCATAAAACACACCTGAATTTCTTAGCGCAGGCAGCTTCTCTCTTGTAATCGCATTCCAGGGCCAGCTCTCTGCTCAGCACTTCAACCAGATGCTCAGGGAAGAGACCTGGAGGCAAAACGGCAGGAGAAGGAAGCAGGTTAGGCTTGAAATAGAAACAATGACAGAATCAGGGGTGGGGGACTTCAGACCTTAGAGCCAAATGCGGCCCTCCACTTCTCTCTGCATGGCCCTTGGAACACTCCCAGACCAAGCCCCTCACTGGCCCTATTTGCACCTCAGATATTTTGCCCTGGCTGGCACGTGTCCATGAACGCTGATAATGCCTCTTGCTTATCTGGATGGTGAACAGAGAGGGCACACAAGGGTATGTAGAAACTAGCCTAGTGTACATAAAGTAAAACCTGCCATTTCTTCTTTGCCCCACCCACCATGGGCATATGGCCCTCGGGAGGCTGCCCAGAAAGGAATGTGGCCCCTGGACTGAAAAAGGTTCCTCAACAGAGAAAAGAGCTCAGCCTGGAAGATAGCGCTTCGCTGGTTACTTTCAGCCATATACAATTGTCCTTAGTTAACTGTAGCAACTGCACCTCTCTGCAAAGCATGAATGGTTCTCCTAAAATTAACGCATCCTGGACTTCAGGAATAGCATCCCCCCGCACATACGAAATCAATTTAGGCATGTATTGGCAACTACTGCAGCCACCCATGCTCCATAAATGGAAAAGGTGGAGATACAAAGCATTTGCGGACTTATAGCCTCCCACGGCTTCTTTGATGCCAAGATTAATGAGAGTTATCAAGGGGGGATTACAATCAAGGTTGTGGATCTCTGCCCAGCATTCCCACAGCCAGGCAAAAGAAGTTCAAAGGACAAAGTGGTTCTGTCTGCCTGAGCTCTGCTCCCATCTGGCAGCCAGTCCACAGACTGCCAACGAGGGAGGGAGGGAGGGATGAGTTACGTTACACAGCAATCTTGCTAGTCTCTCTTCATTGCCACATATCAGGTTCAGAATGCTGGGCTCTCCTGTGGGTTTGGACATGATTGGACTTTTCTTCCAGATGAGCAAAGCAGAATGGATTTCTATCCGGTAAACATAGGCTAAAAACTCACCCCACATTTCATGCTAATAACCTGTTGCACAATAGTGAGAGGTTGTCCCCCAGAATATGTGGGGCAGAGGTGGTAGCCCAGGGAGCCCAAGCCCTGGATATCCTGCCCTTCCCTCCATCCCCCCCAAAAAACCCTCTTTTTCTTTTACACTTTGCTCAGCTGGGCCCTCTACAAAGTGAAACCCAGGGCACAACCCATCTTCATATGCCCAGAGGCAAGACATGGGCCTGTGGCTCCCGGTCTTTTAAGCACCTGGCAATACCCCAGCGTCATTCCATGTCTCAGCAACTATGCTGCTTGTAAGAGGCGGCAGGTGAAGCTTCCAACCAACTGTTTTAACGCTGACAGCAGACAACAGAGTAGTGTTCAGCAGACGCACACAGAAGAATTGCACAACAGCCCCCTTCCCAAAGTTACCTTCTGGGAGAACATTGCTCATGCTCAGGACAGTCATCAGGTTGCTGACATCACTATTGATGCTCTGGGCTATTCCAGGATACTGCACGAGAGAGAGAGAGAGAGAGAGAGAGAGAGAGAGAGAGAGAGAGAGAGAGAGAGAGAGAGAGAGAGAAATGCTAAGCACCTCCTCCAGTTCAAACACCTGCTACACTTTCCTGAACTAAAACAGAGGGTCAAGGCTTCAGTCATGGCAAAAACAAAATCCCTAAATAAAAGTGCTGAAATGCAAGGATGAAAAGAGGTCACGGGAACCTGGCTAATCCTGTGTCTGATCCAGCTAGCGCAGTATTGCTTAACTAAGAGTAAGTAGGGCCACCCCTTTTCTCTCTGCTTGCCACTTTCTCATGCACAAGCCCCACATCCCTCGTTCCTCCCATCCACCCACAGGTAGACACCCCATTCCTCCATTCTCTTCCCCACCCACCCACAACGGCACACATGCTTTCCATCAGGAGCAACTCTCACGCACTCTCATGCCTCCTCCCCCCACTCCTGTTCCCCAGCCACACTGACGTTCTCTTGCTTTGTGTTCTGGGAAAGCAGAAACCACTCTCGGCCACAACAGTCACAGGCAGGTAGGTTCATGGACAAGCCTGGAGGTCCAGCTATGGACTGGCAGCCAGAGCATCTTTCTGACGGATGCTACACCACTCTAGTTGCTGCTACTCTGCAGGCCTCTTTTGCTGAGGAGAAAGGAGGGCCAGCTGAGATGGGGAGGAGGGGGCAAGAGTGGGGCAGAGTAGACAAGGTGGGACAAGATGACCCACAGGATGCTTTCCAACTCCACAATTCTATGATCCTAGAAGGTTCTACAATCCTGATCCAGCCTAGAGGCTGGCAGCTCTGCCCCCTGGTTTTTTTACTGTCTTGAGAACCTGTAGAGTTGCCTGCCAAACAGGGAAATTTCCCAGGATTGAACTTAGGACGGTTTGTTTCCCCATCATTTGCAAAAATCCTTCAGAAAAGATACAGTCCTATTGCAATCAAGAGAGTTCTATGGTAATGCAGTTTACTTTGCATAAGAAACACATGCTGGTTTGGGAAATAATTAAGGGAAGGCATAATGAGCTACAGTTCCCTCTCTCCAAGGTAATTTAGACTGTCCAAACCTGACAACACACTTCTCAAACGCTCCTGCGAAGCATAGCCTGTGGAGTCTAAAATTCCATCCTCCCCACCTCCTTTCTAAAAAAGAGCCAAGGGAGCCAATTTTCACAGCTTAGCACCTGTGCTCTGGGTAGCAGACTGACATGAACAGCTGCAAGAACAGGAACTTTCCGTCACTTTTAACCTACACTGGGCTTAAAAATGGGGGCTGGGGTGAGAGACAACAGACCAAGAAATGCCACCTAGCAAAACCTTAGAACTATCTAGAGCAGGTGGTCCCTCCAGGTGTTGTTAGACTACAATGCCATCATCCTTGACCATGATGGGAGTTGGAGCCCAACATCTGAAGAGCCAGAGGCTCCCCATCTACAGGACTTTTCTACTGTCATGGGGATCATGAAAACTCCCAGTGGAGAGAATTATAACAATTGCCAAAACCAGGATTTCCAGAAAAGGGAAATGCTTCTGGCACATCATCCCCCAAATTCCGCAAGTCTATAGTACAAATGGTTCAGAAACACAGTTTGGTCAGCAAAAAAGGGAACGATAACGTGTGAACTATTCATACCATATACTTTGTCACAACCCAAGAATCAGGTTCAGGATTTGAAGGAGCCTGTCCTCCATCTGAGAATGTCTGTTGATCTCAGACAGAAGTGTTAGGGGCACAGTGACAGAACTACCCTAAAGCCGCATAGGCTTCACACAGGGGCCAAAGGTGATGAGATGAACCTCGGGATCCTTCAACTCTGCAATTCTACACTTCTATGAAACTAATATATTGTAAAACATCAAAGGAGTGGGTCTCAAAGTGCATATTCAGAGCTACTGGTGGGTGCCAACTCTGAAAACACTGAAGACCATAGGCCCACCTGGATTTTCATGGCAACTTCTTTCCCGTTCTTCAAGCGCCCCAGGTGAACCTGTCCAATCGAAGCTGCAGCGAAAGGTCGCTCTTCAAAGAACTCCAACTTATCACGCCAGTTGGGACCAAGGTCATTGTTCAAAGTTTTCTAGCGGTGAATAAAAAACACAAATTGGAGTTTTCCCTTCCCAGGTAGACACTACCACTTGTTGCTTAGACTAGGGACTTTGAAATCCAGCTATGACATACGGACAACTGCAAACAAGCACCAAGTGCATATAAATGGCCAGGATTAAAAATCCAAGCAGCCACTAGTGTATACAAATTAGAGAGCTAAACAATGAATTCCACCATGATTTTTTTTAAAAAATGGTGGAAGCAAGGAAAGAAGATGCCAGTAAGGTTATTAACGCTTTGTTCTTGCAGCCTGCTCAGCAATGGCCCAGAACCTGTAAATAGAGGAAGGTGCCTGCTTTTCTCTGTTCAACACAGGTCTACTTCTGTTCATCCACTTTGATCCCCAAGGCTCCCTCCTGTCATACAGCCCAGCCAAATCCTCACCATCATTTGCTTCAGTGGCATGAAGTCTGCACTCTGACGGACACGTTCAAAAATCTTCTGCAGATGAGGGTTGATGAAGGCATCATCTGACAAGAGGAAAACACAAGCCCAGTCAGAGCCATAGTTAACATGATAGCTAGTTCCTTTGATATGAAAGTACAGTCTCATTAAAAAGGTAGAAGTAGCCTTAAGTACATTTCGGATTGAGCATTGACATATATATAGAATGTGAGTGGATTTTGTGGCTAGGGTCAGACAACATTCTATCTTGCACAAAGGAGCCAGCTTTATTGTTCATAAATTCCTATAAACATGTGATGCTTTACCCTCAGTCTTTGTCATCCTTGAAATATCCAATGAGAAACCTGAAGACTCCCCCCCCCTTCTGCAAGGAGCTCTGCATATGCTCTGAAACCCAGTGTTTCTGCTCAAGCAAGCAACATGCAGCTAGCTAAGTTAAATTGACTTCAGGGAATTAATTTATTTAGTAATTTGGGTATCAAATACTTAAAGAACAAATTAACAAAAAGAACATCATATACAAAAGGCAATTATCTTTAGGGAATTTGTTTGTGAGTGTGGTGCAAGAGAGAATCATTGCCTTCACTCTTCCCCAAATAAACTTATTTATATTTTTTTATTTTGTTTCATTAGTTGTTGTTTTTAAAGCAAACCTCTAAATTTTCTCATTAGAATCTCCCTGTATGACACTGCAGAGATGCTAAGTGACCTGTTTGTGTTCCAAATTTTCCCCTCACACACAAACAAAATGGTGTGCCTCTAAAGCTTTGGGAAAGTAAATGGGTCCTTGCCAGCAGGACCAAGAAACCCTCAAAGCAGCTGGACACACTACAGTGCAGCCCCAGCATTTGGTGGCAGCGTATCACTACAGTGGTACCCCGCAAGACGAATGACTCGCAAGACGGAAAACCCGCTAGACGAAAGGGTTTTCCGTTTGCGATGCGCTTCGCAAGACGAATTTCCCTATGGGCTTGCTTCGCAAGACGAAAATGTCTTGCGAGTCTCGCCATTCCCCCCCGCTTCCCCCCCCCTTTTTCTAAGCCGCTAATAGCCTTTTAGCAGCTAAGCCGCTAAGCCTTTAATAGCCGCTAAGCCGCTAAACCGCTAATAACTCTAATCCGCTAATGGGGTTGCTTCACAAGACGAAAAAACCGCTAGACGAAGAGAATCGCGGAACAGATTCTTTTCATCTTGCGAGGCACCACTGTATTTACTTTTGAAGGGAGCTCTTATACAAAACAGGGACCTGCCAGTAAGGAGGGATCCATTCCCACCCACTCAATTCCTTCACACATGGCAAAGGGTCAGATCCCCTAACCTACGTACAGGCATTGCCCACAAACCTTCAAGCTCATTTTTGCAGCTTAGAAGGTTCAAAAGAGCTATGCTCAAGAAGGGGTACTGAATTTGAGCATGATGGAAGAATGCCCATGAGATCCTGGCGATATCCCTCATCCTAAGGCTTCCACAAGCGAAGAAAACAAGTGTGGCATCCTCCATGGGGTTGTTGTGTGCTGAAACCTCATCTATTCTACCCCTGTCCCTTCCGAGACATAGCAGGAAGGGCTGGAGCTGGCAGGAGAACGTTTCAATTCTCAACAGGCTGCTCTACTTTCACCACCTCAGAAAAACAGAGAATAAACACTTGCATCAGCTGTGACTTGCATGTCTATTCCAACACTTATCTGCTTTGCTCGCTAACATGCCAATGAACCGCCTTCACTTGCTATTTATGCGGCAAGTTTATTAGGCCTTCAAAGAACAATTTGCCAACTGGTGCTGAAGTAACCAACCAGATTATTTTTTAACAAAGCATGCTCGTGCTCAAAAACACAGGAAGCAAAGTATATGCAGAGTCAGGCCATTAGGCCCATCTAGATGAATGCTGTCAACACTTGTCTGAAAGCTGACATTTCCAGATGCAACCCAGGGACTCAACCTGGGACCCTCCCACAGTCAAAGCATGTCCTCTGCTGCTGAGCTACAGATTTTCCTCTTTGTGGCTTATGGTTTAGACTAGACATTAAAAGACACCCCTGCAATTAAGCAGTGACAGTCCGTTCCTCCCTTGCAGTTAAGGTTGGGCAAGACACTGGCCACAGAAAGGGTTCATGGTAAAGTTTTACGGTGTGAAGCAACTGCAAGCAGAGGGCAGCCTGCAAGTTGCATCAACCTATTGTTTTTAACGGAAGCAAAGGGTTCTTGTTGGGGAAAGCTCATTTTCCTGGTCCTTTTCAGAAATACAGAACTGCATCTTTCTCAGAAGGCTGGAGAAGTTTAAAGGAGGGGCAGAATGTCTACCAGGTTGCCTTGGCCTTCAGTTGTATTTATTTCTTTAAAAGCCTCCAGTGGGTTTGGCAATGCTATGCTATTAGTGGGAAGAAACACACACACACACACACACACAGAGAGAGAGAGAGAGAGAGAGAGAGAGAGAGAGAGAGAGAAGCCACATTGGCAGCCTGCTCTAGTAGTTACTTCAGATCCCACCATTGTAGTAACTTTGGTGATAGCCACATCACATCTGGATCATCTACACACACACACACACACACACACACACACACACTTCTGCTAATACCACTATTCCATTTTCTCTTGGTCACAACACAATGTTCAGCTACACACTTCTGTCATCTGGATTTGTCAGGCTGCTGGCCTGAATTGGGAGAATTCTAAACATCAGCCAAAAATAATGAGCACATGCTTGAGAAGTCTTCGAGTCCAAATAGTTTCCAGAAGGGAGCCATGTTTGTGGTGGTTGTTTGCTGCAACAGACTTAGAGCCTTGTGTCACTTTAAAGTACAGTCAAACCTCGGTGGTTCAACATAATCCGTACCGTTTGACTTCCAAAACGTTCAACAACTGAGCCGCATCTTCCAATTGGTTGCAAGAGCTTCTTGCACTCAAGCAGAAGTCACGTTGGACATTTGAGTTCCAAAAAATGTTTAAAAAACTGGAGCATTTACTTCCAGGTTTTTGGCGTTCAGGAGCTGAAACGTTCGAAAATGGAGCCATTTGAGAACCGAAGTTTGACTGTTGAAGCTTTTGTGGCTAACACTTCATACATCTGATGAAGAGTTTACTTTAAAGGGTACTGGTCTTTATCACTTTTGCCCAAAATGAATACCACTGATTTATTAGCAGTTTTAACGCAATATACACTTCATAATATGCAACTACAAATAAAGATTACAGGGAAGATAGAAACAAGAACAGTATGTGAGATTCGGGCTTTTTGATGCAACAGCATTTATTTGTGTACTGATGGTTCTCACCTGGTGGAAGGTGAAAGGGATAAAGGGCAGAGAATAAGACGTTCTTAAAAACACAACACAAAAACCTTGGAGGTAAAGAAATGCTACAATTGCAAAGGTACCGTATTAGACTTTTCAATGAGATGATCACGTCCTTTTTTTGCTGCGTTCTTCGAAGAGGTTGAATTACAGATATGATTTTGTCGTGTACGCATTTTGGCTTGTTAAGACGTGCGTAATTATGGACGGTGGTTAAGCTCAATAACTCATTACCAACAAAAAAAAAAATATACCCTTTCAGAGAGAGTTAAAGTTGCCGTGGTTATTTGTCCAGGCAGGAGAGACTTGGACACAGCACTGTCTTTGGCATCCATTCAAGCTATCTGGAAAAAAAAAAATTAAGGTGTGGCAAAGAGTTGTCGTCATTCGTAGCATTAATGTGGATGAATTCGCTGTGTTGTCATGCAGAAGCCAGTAAACTCTCTGTTGGTCTATTGCTACTTCAAGCGATTGTACATTACCGGCAGCAGAGGAAAAATTAGAGGTTTTAGATTCGCTCAGATGTGCATGTATGTGGAGGGCAGTCCTTCCAGGGACGTGAAATAGACCACAGTCTCTACATGGCCTCTTCTGTCAGGACGAGAGAGTTTGTGGCTCAGGTCAGTAGAACACGAGATTCTGTTGCAGCCAGGTACCTGCTCATTCCGTGGTTTTCAGTTTTTCAGGATACAAATGAGTTCAGTGTGATCCGTGCCTAGCTATTTATGCGCCCTGCCTGTGAAGCCTTCAATGTTGCTCAGACTCGTCATTAAAAGGTTGGGGTTTCTCTATGGGATCGATATAAGCTGTCTAGGAGATATGTTCGATGGTATGCCCACCTACGCAGCTCAGATGAATTTTGTGGCAAGGAAGTGAAAACTGAAATACGACATCACAGATTTGCAAGATACTCACGTTAGAGCCGTTATTATACGCTACTAGCCCACTAAACTGACAGGAGCGTTACAGGAGATATTGAACCAGAAAATATTTGGAGGTGAAGTAATTATTTAAAGGTTATCGGAGTCTGAACGATCTCATACTTGTACGCCAACACCATCATTAAGCAGAATCTGTAGTGATACTTTGTAACCACACAGTATACCTGTTTGGAGTGACTGACGGGAACAATATTAAATGAAATATTCGAACTGTGCGAAAAAACGACCGAGTATAAACTGCAGTGAGATCGTATGCCGTACGAGTTTGCTCTTTGTCAGAAGTCTTTTTTTACATTTACCGTGTTTATTTAAAGTACCTTTATAGTATTGAGGACTGATCTGAAGTTTTTGTCTTTATGACGTAAATTTGCGTTTTTCTTCTTTTTTTACTGTATTTCTCTCTTTTCGCTTGTTTAATTTCGTTTTTTCTTCAGGTTTGTGTTATTGTAGTATGAGATTGTGAATATCTTTTTTATTCTCGCTGTCTGTAATTTATATTAATAAGATTATTTAGATCTTATTTAACACAAACAGATGTTCAGACAGGGAGAATTAGTTACTTGTTGTTATTTATTAATTTATGTTACTATGCCTCTTCATTACCTAGCTCTTCGTCGGGGTTCTCCACAATATAAACATTACATTGATACATAATAAAAATAAGGAGAAAACAACGGCCTCCTCTCTCCCCCCCCCCTATTTTACTAAGAAAGTGTGTTGGTGTTAATCAGTAAAGCTTGTTGGAATGACGGCTGGCGCCTAGATGGGTGTTATGATGTGCCTACCCAGGAATCTTCTGGGGATGGCGTGGTCCCATATATGGGTGGCCTGTTCCTGTGTTTTTGCCACCTTCCT